AAGGAATAGGAATAGGAATCCGAATCCGAATCCGAATCGATTACCTACTCTAAGATCTAAGAATATAAGTTTTCAACCTATTTTTTGCCTATTTCGTTCAGGCAGATCCAACCAAAAAAGAATTTAAAAGGAATTTTGTAACCCATCCCACAGATTACAGAATAGGAAAAAAATACCACTTGTTTTATATTCTACGATAATAAAGATGCGTTACAGTGAAAAAAAAAAAAAATAAAAAAAAATAAAGAATTTTTTTCTTTCAATTTAATTACAATACAAATTCTTTCTTTATAACTACATTGTTCAACAAATTCCAAAATTGATCTTTATTAATTTTTTTACTGAAATAAACAGTATAACACTATAAAATTCATAGACATTTTCGTTTTTCAATTAGCGCGATTTCCCTCACTTGAATTGATTGAGCCAGTGAGCATGTGCTTAACAACAAATTTATTCATTTCAATTGGCTACGTAATCGAACACTTTTTTTAAAAAAAGTCTTATTTCGTCAGGCTCCTAAAGTGAATTATAATATAATATCCACGAAAAAAACTGCATCGCGGGACGCGAATCACGTCTTTTTCAACCATGTATTTCAAATTTCTAGCCGGTCCAGGTACACGAAGCGTTCACGATCTAGAAGGGAAACCTTCAAATTTAATCGCGTACGCTGTTGATTCCGATTTCCGAGCTTAGCTTCGAACAGGCGAACATAGTATTTAGAGAAAGCATAGATCAATTAAACTAGCTCACATCCACGCCCAATCCGATAAAATCATCCTGCCACAAAATAATAATATATAAATAAAACTCACAATCATCACAGCCTCGTGCAAGAATTACGATTATCGAAGAATGCAGAAAATATTTCGATGCTACCAAAATCAAAGACAACCAGCCGTTTTTCAACGACATAGTCGAGGCTTGATTTGCAATTATGTGCACGTGTCTAATGGGATGTTTACGTTTTATTATCACCTTTCAGGACACATTATTCCTTAACTCGAAAACAGAGGTCATTAAAGCACATTTACAACCCTCGGGTGCTTTGCAATCTTCGGACGCTTTATCACCTTCAATTACTATACAACCTTCAGATGTTACAGATACTTTACTAAAACCCGCCACAAACTCCCCCAAAAATTAACACATTTATTAAAAGTACACCAAACAAGCAATAGATAAGGAAGAGCTTTGGGAGTAAGTTTCTGCTTTGTTGTGTTGCTTCGAAAACAGAAGTTATTCTAACAGTATTTTGGTCTTCTATGTAACAGTTACAATTCCACATATGAGCATAACCAAAGAATTGGAAACAGAAATTGAAATAGAACTCACCAAAGAATATTCCTTTATGCGTGATAGAAATCCCATTATGTAGAATTCTGCCTTAAAGGAATATTGTATAATGCCACTCTCAAGGAATCTGGTGAAAGTTCAAGGATGCAGTTAGAAATAAGAATTATAAAGATGTAGATGAACGTTTCCGCCTATGTTGTGAGAAAGTTCTCACTGACTTGTAGGTAGACATTAATGTCTATTTGTCAAGAACTGCTAACAATTGCTTTTCCTTTATCTACAACCTTGTAGATGTTGGTCGCATTATTAATAGAAAATTAGGCGAGCGAAAGCATATAGTTTACCAAGTATCAGCACTATTCAAATTTTATTAAAGACCGTTTCTAATCTTGGATATTGATTGGATTGTGTTCCATTCCCGTTCGGTAAAACTGATGAAGTTGTAACCAAATTCTGACATTATTCTGGTGGATGCAAAGGCGATGAGGTTTTTCGATGGGCTTGACGTTTGGCATTTAGATGTTGTAGGTCCTCCCTCCCTGTAGTACACCTGATAAACATGCTTTAGATGATTCGAAGAAAATATTCCGAACAGATAACCTAAATCTAATTACAATATCGTGAGAACACCTTGATTGTGATATCAACCTTTACACAGGGATAAAGGTGTTCAGTACGCAATCAATTAGTAAGTAGTTTATGCATGAATGCATGATCTATGCTTTGCTAGCCATTGCAATGTATGATAACTTGTTCCCATTCTCCCTCAACGCAACCCTGTCTGCTAGTTTAACCAAGCATAAATTAACCTGGATTTGATTTGCTTATCATGGCTTCGGCCATATTAATTAAATATTTGCTCTTTATTTTTTTTCCCCTTTTATGTTAATTTTTAAAAGTTTATTACAGTAATTAATAAGGTTAAGTATTTTTAATAGCAGTTCAGAACTTTTAAGTATAGAATATTGTTATAAAGTTGGATATTAAGTAATTTTGTAATAAACATATTTTTTGTTTTGTTAGATCTTACAACATAATTTTAAGCGAAATATATTGGAAATACTTGCATATTAATTTTGTAAGTCTATCTTGAAATTATGGGTAGTTTTAATAATATCAAGTAGTTTGAATACTTTAGCTAAAGGAATATATTTTTTTAACTTAACCAAATCTCTATAATTTATCTCTAATTCTTTACCTTATCTGTACTTACTTCTTTATAATTTATCTATATCTTTTTAACCTAACTGGTAAATTATAATTATTCTTTAAACTGTTAATTTTGCAAGAAAATTTACTTATATAAATTTTATTTTAATTAAAAGATATTGATAATTTTTTAAAAGTTAATAATTAATAAATTATTGCTAAATTCTTTAAATTGAAATATTTTTTTATTTACTGATTAATTTTAAAAATGTAAAATTACTATCATTAAATGTATTTTAATAAGAAAAATCTATAAAATCTATAAATTAATATGATTTTCTATTTTCTATTACTATTTTTACTTTAATAAGTTTTTAAAATTAACTTTAAATTTTACTGTTTAGGAAATAGTATCAATACTTTATTTTTGTTTATTTTATATTAAATTTAAATATTTTTAATACATATAAGGCCGCTCCAAGCCAATTCTTTGTTTAACATAACATAGGGGTCCCAATCTAGGGGGGGGGAACAAAAAATAATACATAAAATAAAATACATGGCCAGAATTACCATTAATTTTGGCCAAAATTTTGACCAAAAAAGTGAGCAAAAATTTTGGATGATAATTCCGGCTAAAACTTAAAGATTTGTCTAATTCTGGCCTAAATTACATGTATTTTTTTTACATAAAAAATCCAAAAACAGGGGGGGGGTATGTTAAATAAAATATTGAATTGGTGCGGCCTTATTGAAAATTTGACGTAAAATCTAACTTTGGAAACACACCTTCCCAGTAAGAAAAATTGCATACTGAAAATATACTGAAAATATACTGAATTTTAAGAATATTTAACTATATAATCATGTATATTATAANTATATAAATATTTATTAAAATATAAAATTTAACAAAGGTGAATTCACTTTGATTTACATGTATTATATTAAAATTTTCTAATTTTTAGATGGTTTTATTTATTATTTTATATATAATATTATATTAAAAATTGTAAATCCCATTTTTTAATTTTTTTTTTGTTTTTTATTTTTTTTTTAAAACTGAAAAAATTTAAATTTTAATATAATAAAGAATAATTTTAATATTTGCTAGAGGTGAAACTTATCAGAGATAAATTCCAAATAAAATTTACCTTTATTATATTATATAATTTATATAAAAATTTATTTAAAAAAAAACTAAAAAAAAATCTAAAAAATAAAATTTTTGCAGTATTATAAAATAAATGAATAAAACTGTTTAAAAATTAGTTTATATATTATATAAATTAAGGTAAAATTTATTTTTGGTAAATTTTACCATAAAATATTGAAATATATAAATCAAGTTGAAATTCATCTTAAATTTTACAATTAACTTTTAGTATAAATTATATAACATAATAAAAGTGAATTTACCTAAGGTGATTTTACTCCTAATATAGTTCACTTTTTTTTTTTTAATTTTATTTAATTTTATGTAAATTAATAATAAGAAATTTAATTAAATTTTAAGTATTAATATTATATACAAATTTAAAGAAAATAGAAATTATTTGCCATGATAATTATATTAAATATATATTATTAAAAGTTTTAACCATAAATTTTTTATTTTTTTGGTTTATAAGAATTTCATTTTAAATTTAGTTTTATATAGATTTTTCAAGTCTAATTGATTTATACCTAATATAACTACTGCTTAAATTTTTAAGTAATAAAAATTTTAATAAATATTCATTAAAAAGACCATAACGAAGATCTAACTAAAATAAACCTGAATCATGTGATCAGAATTATTAGATAGTAGATCGATGATAGATGAGATAAAAAAAAAAAAAATTTTTTTTCTTATTACTTCTTAGATAATGAATTTAAAACCAACAAAGAAAGTAAAACCTTTAAGCGAACCTGGAACAAAAATAGACAAAAAAACACCACTAGTAGATAATGTGGCCTCATTAATCTCTTCAAGTTCTGAATCTGAAGACGAAACAGAAGAATCTAGTTCAAGCAGTAGTAGCGAAGAAGAAATTCAAAAGAAAAATGGTAATAAAGTTGTAACAAAAAATGGTGTTAAAAAGAAATCAAAAAAACATGGTAGTTCTAGCGAAGTCAGCGACGATAGTTCCGACGAGGAAAGCGAAACAGATTCCGAAAATCAAACAATTGTTTTAGAGGAAGAAAATAATAGTAGTTCCACTGACGACTCAAGTGATAGTTCTGACGATGAATCAGAGAAAAAGAATAATAAAAAAGTGATAAAAAATACTAGTACTGATGGACCTGGTGAAAATACCGAAACAACATCAGAAAATAGTTCATCATCATCATCAGAATGTTCAGAATCTAGTGAAAATGAAATTATGGAAACTAAGGTCAATAATGGAGTTAACAAGGATGAAACTAGTGATTCCAGCTCATCAGAAGAAGAGGATTCTGATTCCGCTGAAGATTCTAAAGTTCAAAATATTTCGAATAACCAAGGACAAGATTCTTCTGATGATAGTAGTAGCTCAAGTGATACTGAAGAAGAAACTGAAGATACTGCTATGGACATTGAAAATTCAAATAATAATTCTATAGTAGAATCAAGTCCACCAAAACGAAAATTAGATAATTCTAATTTTAATTCATCCAAAAAAACAAAAGTAAATGAGGATTCGTCTGAATGTAAGACAGTTTTTGTGGGAAATCTCTCATTCAATGTTGATGTTAACTGGTTACGCCAAGAATTCGAAGAAGCTGGTGAAATTGCTGATGTTCGTATTATTTATGATAAGGACACTGGCAAATCGAGAGGGTAAATAAAGTTATATTCATTGTTGTATCTTTTATCTAAACTAATTAATGTCGTCTTATTTAGGTTTGGTTATGTAGAATTTGCTACTGCCGAAGGTGCCAATAATGCAGTGAAATTTGCGGGTGGAGAGATTGATGGAAGAGCAATTAATGTAGATCTTGCCGATCAAAAAACCGGTTCCTTCAAGAAAAAGAGTAACTTCTCAAAGGGTACGAGCGAAGTCAGTAACACACTTTTTATAGGAAATCTATCTTTTAATGTAATAGAAGACGAAATCTGGGAAACTTTCGGCAATTATGGTCAGATCGTTGCAGTTAGACTACCAACTCACGAAGACACGGGCAAATTAAAAGGGTGAGCATTAATGATACGTCTTTTTTTATTAAACGCTTATAAACGAATTTTTATTTATTCGATTCGTGTTCGATATTTAAGATATGGGTATGTAGAATTCGCTGATACCAATGCAGCTCAAAAAGCAATGGAATTGCATGGTACTGAAATAGGTGGGCGAGCCGTTCGCCTTGATTTTAGTGAGGGAAAAAGAGATAATGGTTCAAGTAAGAAAGGTTTCCTTTTTTTTCACGCTTTATATAATTATTACTAATTTAATTACTAAACAATTATAGATTTTGGAAATCGCAGAGGGCGTGGCGGCAATAGCCGTGGAGGTAGCGACAACAGACGTGGAAGAGGTGGAAGAGGTGGAAGAGGTGGCAGAGGTGGCAGAGGTGGTTCTAGCCGTGGCGGATTCAATAAGACAGCAGCAGCAAACCGTGGGGCTATAGTACCTCCACAGGGCAAAAAAATTACTTTCGATTAAAAGTGAGCTTCTAAACGCAAAGTTTTATATAATTCATACTCTAGTATCATTAATTGTGATATTGATTATAATTTATCTCTTTACAAATGACAAAAATTTTTTAAATGTTAAATTCCATCAGCATAAATCAACTCACACTACTTTTTTTAAATTTAAATCTTTCGCTTTAAAAGAAATTAAACCATTTTTAAAATTTCTCATCAAATTAATTAGAAAATGATAAAAGATAAAAGATGTAACAAATTCTGGTGATTATAAACATTCAGATAAAATTTAACAAAACCAGATGACATTAAAGAAAGAATTTTTGAGTTCAAGTCATTTCACTTTTTTTACTTTAATCATAAATTCTTAAATAGATGAAATTTGGTCTAATTTTGATTCAGTAAAATCCCACAGTGTTCTCAATAATTCATCACCGAGGGTGTATAAATCTATGTGAAATTCTCCTATAAAATTATTTAATAAATTTGTTAGGAAACTTCACCGAAATAATAGTCAGAAAGAGAGAACTTTACCTTCTGTATCTTCATTTATGTACATGTCATCTGAACGATGATCATTGACAATTTGTATTACTTCGAGTATGTCATCCTCATCCAATGCATAAAGATTTCTTGCTAATTTTTGATAATCTACCTTATAATTCTCTTTATCATTCGTGGATTCACTAGTAGAACACGGTGATCGCGAAGAATTACCAGATTCATAACTTGGCGATCCAGATGTATCATTTTTTTGTCGTTTAATGGAAGCATTAAGTGATGATTTTGTCTTTTTTTTATTAGGCTTGGGCATAGACGAATACGATTCATCAGATTTTTCGTGAAAAAGCAACAACTGAAATGTTGGTTTTGGATCCGTAAAAGTCTAATAAAAATTGAATCAGTACATTATTTTGCTATATAGGTGTATATATATGTTCTAAAAAAAGTTAGTACTTACTAGTTTGTGAGGAACTTCATAATGAGATTTTTTGAAATTAAGATCATGAAAAAAAGTAAAAGGAATAATGGTTTTATCTGTAAAATATAATGTTATCTTCATATCAAACTCGCCCCAACCTTTTTCAGAAAGTGTAAATGGAGGTTTCCGCACCACTATTTTAAGTGATATTATTTTGATTAGTTAAATAAACTCGTAAATTATTAATAATATTCTCATTACCTCTTTCAGGAGGTTCAAATGTTGGATGTAAGATATATTCAACTCTTTCAACGTAATTTAGAGGACAATGTTCTGCCATATCGTCAATTGCAAAGATCGAAACCTTCCACTTACGCATTGGAAGACCATTAGTTGGCTTCAAATGCTTTGATATCTCCTATTTTTATAAACGTCATGATTTTTTAGTTAACAAGAAAAGATTCATAACACCTTTTCCCGATCCAAGATCACTTTTAAAAACCTGGTCGGTTACAACTACAATCTCTTTTTCAACTATTGACTACAGAATGACACATTTTCTTAATTAGTTTAGTTAAACCAATTTTTTTTTTTTTAAAAAAAAAAAAAATACCTGGTTTGTGTCGCTCATATTTGAAAAGGTACGAAAGTTGAAATAACTTGCTAATTTTTATTAAAGAATCTGTGATTTAAGATCTAAAATGACGACTTCTATGTTGAATTCGATTTTATATATCACGAAAAAAAAATATATTATCTCGACTTTTTTTTAGATAATCACGTCAGAAACTAGAAATATTAGAAAATTAATGATTTATACATAAAATTAGTTGATCTATTTTTTTTTTTTTTGTATATTTATATATAATAAAATTTTTTGGGTTTATAAGTCCACATAACTTCTACTTTGCATACTATCTGCAAAAAGTGTATTTATATATATATATATATATTTAAGACCTTAAGACCATAAAGTAAAAGGTGTATTCAACATAATATATAGGTTACAATTTAAAGATAAAATATATATTTTATCCTACCTGTATTTTATATTAATATAAAAATTATAAAAATTTATTTAATTTTTAATAAAGTACTATTTTTTTTATTAATATGGAAATACCAGAATTTTCAAAGTAATTGGAAACTATTAAAATTATGGTATTTTCCATAATTACTGTTAAAGTTGAATAAATTTATCATAAAAAAGAATTATATATTAAATAAAAACTATAAAATTAAATATATACTTAAAAAAATTATCTATTTTGCTAACCGCAGTACATTTCAATATATATTATGAATTATAAAAAAGTTAATAATATTATCTTTTTAACAAATATATGATTTTTAATAAGTGATTTAAATATAATAAAAAATGATCAGCAAAATTTATTAATGATACAAAAGTATTAATATCCCATGTATAAATATGTTATTTAAAGAAAGAAAAACTAATCCAAACTTTCAAAGTTTAGACTAAAATATAGTTAATACAAACTTACAAGTTATGTCAGGATTTAAATATATTAAATACACAATTTTGTACTTTACAATTATTAATTTCAAACCCGAAAAAAAACTGTCAAGCAAAAAAAAGTAAATTCTGTGAATGTCTATTCCTTTTCAATCGAAACTAATATGTGATAAACTTGATAAACTTTGATGAGTCACGTGTCGCAAACTTTGTCGTGCAATTACGCAATTTTCGGCATTTAACGTGGACATTATTTGCAGCCAATCGCACATCCACAAAATCTCCGACATTGCTCAACAGAATTTTTAAGTATGCAGGATGAACTTTACTCCTTTGTCTGCCGCGAGTACCACAAAAAGTTATAACTACTAATTTAACTAATATTAGTATTACAACTTAAATACGCCGCGTTTCACGTCTTTTGAAAGTTTGTTTTATTTATTGGAGACTTTAGATCTTAACCCTTTCTCTAATTTTTCTTCATCACACTCACCATGTCTGAAGGAGCACACCCATCTGGAGACGATGAAGTCGAAGATTTTAAAGAACAAGATCGATTTCTTCCAATAGCAAATGTAGCGCGTATAATGAAACGCGCTTTACCAGAAAACGCAAAAATAGCTAAAGAAGCTAAAGAATGCGTACAAGAATGTGTTTCCGAATTTATATCATTTATAACAAGCGAATATCCTTTATTATCAAATAGCTCTTTTTAAATTCGTTATAATTAAATTTGTAAAACACGTAATGAAATCTGTTAAAACTTTATCTTCATATATTCCCTTAACCTCCTTGATTTTTGTTTATTTGCACGGCAAGCGATCGTTGTCAACAAGAAAAAAGAAAAACAATCAACGGTGAAGATATTTTATGGGCGATGCAATCTTTAGGATTTGAAAATTATGCAGATGCACTAAAGATATATTTAGCCAAGTATCGAGAGGTATTAGAAATAATTCATTTTTATTTTGAAGGATTATTATTTATTCGCATATTATTAATAAATTTATATAATTTATAATTTGACTAGACCACAAAAATAGAACGCTCTTCTGCAAATTCCAAAGAAAAAGAGGAAGAAGGAGCGAACGTAACTGATATGTATTCAACACAACAATCTCAACAACATGCAACGGCTGGTTATTATCCGGGTAAGTGAAAAAGTTTTCCCGAATTTATTTAATAATAATCTTAACAAATTTTTTTTTTCGTATAATAGTGCAACATCAAAATTATCTCGGTGATAATAACCCAAGTTAATAGATTGTCTTTAATAATCCCTTTTAATTTCCTTTATTTTCATTATCTTTTATTTTTTGTCTCTTCATGGGGTTTGTTTCTTATTAGTAATCCGATAATCGGATAAAAATAGAGTTTAAAAAATACGATATTAATGTCTTGTTTTTGACTGTTCTTTTTAACTTAATAGGCAAATAATGCTTTATAATAATTTGAATTATCAAATAATATATTAGCATTTAAAAAAAAAGTTAATAAACCTGAGCATATTAATTTTTTTATTTATCCGTTAGTAATATGAAATTACTATAAAACTATTAATTGATCGTTTTTCGCAAAATAAAACCTGTATTTAAACTTGATTTTATTACGGCAAAATCCGCGGAATTATCACTATTACAGTAATATAAGTATGGGACAAAAAAAAAAAAATCAAACTTTTGCTCGAATTTATAAATAATGTTTAGTAGAACCGCAAAATATTTTTCTTTTAAAAAATCGATTATAAAATATATGGTTACGAATTCCATTCTTAATGTTTCACCTCAAACATCACCTTTTATACGTTCTTTTTCAAAAACTATTCCATGTTGTCGAATAAAAATTCCTATTACAAATATTAATCCAGAAATTAAAGTTCCCGATGATCCATACTTATTATCTAAACTAATTAAAAAACTTGGCGAGCAAGATAAATTAGAAGATGCAATATCAATTGCATTAAATACTAAAAAGAGTGCTCAATCAGAAGTAGTTTGGAATCATTTAATTGATGAATGTGTTAAAAGAGGAAGAATTACATTGGGAATTCGTTTACTAAATCAGGTAAAACACAATAAAAGTTGCTTGTTTTTTTTCGAAGCTTATTAATGAATTTCTCATAATCTAAAAGATGAAAAAACATTCATTTGTTCCAAATCAACAAACGTATACAATTCTATTAAATGGAATCGCAGAAAATCAAACATTTGAAGATAATATTACACAAGCAAAACATTTATTAGAAGATTTACAACAAATATCAACACGACATAATCAGGTTAAGATCAATGTAATCCATGTTAATTGTTTCCTTAAAGTTTGTTCTAGGTCAAATAATTTTGAAGCTTTAATAGAAAATTATAATGAATTAATTAACAAAGGCGATTGGAAACCAAATCAAGAAACTTATACTATAATACTTAATTCATGCGCAAGACATGATTCTGGATATTATGTTGCATTGAAATTATGGGATCAATTGAATATCAATCCTAAAAATTCTAAAGATAAACAAAAAGAAATTGATCAAGAATTGGAATGGGGTTTAGCTAAAAGATTTGATAATATTATAATAGATGATAATCTTGTACGTTCTATGTTGTTAGTTTGCAAAAATCATCATGATTATCAGAAAGGGTTAGAAATAATTAAATATGTTTATGGATTGGAATCTGATGTGAATGTTTCAAAATCACCATCATTTATTTGCAATCTATCACCGCAAACTTTAGATGTTATACTTGATATTTGTGTTAAAAAACATTATGAAAAAGGAATCAAATTATTTGATGATGCATTAAGTCAATTTCCTGACTTATCTTTAGATATTTATATTTTCAACAAATTAATAAATTTGTGCAACAAGGCAGGAGAATGTGACAAAGCTATTTCGTTGAAAGAAACAATTCAGGAAAGAGGTTTACGTCTAAATATACAAACTTATGATTTATTGATTACTTCGTGCAAGATTAATGAAGATTGGACTACGGCTAAAAATTTATATATAAAAATGTTACATAATAATACAAAAGTATTTGATCCACGTATTTTAAATGCGATGTTTGAATTAGCTGAAATTCAAAGGGTTAAGAATAATTCATCGACTGAAGTTAAATGGTTATTGAATTTATCTCATGAGATTACATTACAAAATTTTAATACTCAAATGGAAAATGAGAAGAAGAAAATATATCATTATAAAAAATTACTTAAAAAGATAAAAAAAGCCTATACATCACTGTTAAAAAATAAACGATCAGGTTTAACCGTTGAAGAAATTAAACGTTATACAAATAACTTAAGGGAAATTAAAATTAAAATAGCTGAAGCAAAAAAAAGAAGTAAAACTTAATCACTCGTAATAATGTGTAAATTCAATATTCCTCTTATTAAACTCTTTTGGTTGATCGATATTATTGTATATTTACAATGAGAGTTTTAATTTATTTTGACTGCAGTAATGGAATTGGACAAAGTCCAATTGAAAAAATTTGGACTATTGGACTTGGACTAATTGGATTTGGTCCAAGTCCAATTTAGTTCTTATAATTCAATACTTAATTTTCAATAATTTTATTAATCGTTTCAAGCTTATTTGTAGTAATATAATTGTAATTGGAATTGATCATAGTCCAATAGTCCAATAAAATTTGAATTTGGACTGAACAATACCAATAGTCCAATTGTTCATTAATCCCACTGATTTTGACAAATTGGTTGAAATGTTTGGTTTCATTTCACTGACAAATACCATATAATAAACGAATGTAAGTTGCAAATAAAATCACAATCTGATATTTCTATGTCATGTAATCTATTTATTGAGTTTTGTAAAGATACATTAACTGGAACTTAATGATCCAAAGATAAAAAAAAAAATTCAAATAATCCGAACATGCTTATATGTCTAAACACTACTTGGATTGATTTCACCTAAGAAAATTTGTCGATCGGTACTTCCGGAAACAACTATTGATTAAGAAAGTAATTTAACGAAAGAATGATTTAAATTAGTGATAAAAATTTAAGGAAACTTACTAATAGGCTCTTTAGGATGGAAGTCTACTTCATTGACGCAACCTTTGTGTCCAGGTAATTTGTATAAAATTTTACGACTAGAGAAATCCCATATCATAACTGTTCGGTCACCGCTTCCTGAGGCTATCTGTGAACCATCAGATGACCAAGCGGGCCTGATTAAATTCTTCTCAAAACTATGAGGTGCACCTTTAAAAAAGTAATAGGATTTGGATATTAATAAATAGAAATATTTAATAGAACATATTTTAATACTTTTTACCTTCGAAAATTTTAAGAAGACGGTTGGTTGGAGCGAAAGGCTTAACATCCCAGACTCGAACTAAATTAAAAAAAATAAAATTAATATTTTTTTTTTTTGTTATTGTTATTGTTATTGTTATTACTAATTAATTAATAAAGATGTGCCCATTTGATTATATGATATGATAATAAAAATTACCTGTGTTATCCATCGCGTTAGATAGAAGATAAGATCCATCAGGACTCAATCTAATACCAGATATAGTATCTTGATGTCCTTTGAGAATATAAGCATGGGCTTTCTTCCTCAAATCCCAGGCCTAGCGTAATTTAAAATGACAAATTAATTATTTTAAATAATGTTGTACAAATTTATCAATAATAACTGTATTTATCAGGTATACACGTCTAACCATATTGTATTAGATATACGGTCTTACAGTAATTGGACATTAATCATCATCATGAAATGCTACGCTTTTTTTCTTAAGAACAAAGACGACGAGATAAAGAAATTATTTACCGTAATATCGTTATCCAAACAGCCTGCAAACACCAAATCCCCAGCTTCGCTAAAACATGTAGCCGTAATTTGGTACTGATGAATAAAAGTGTCAACAGCATCTTTTTGTCGAAGGTCCCATATCTAACAACTCAAATATTTTATGTTAATCGTCTTATTACTAAGTAAACCTTGTATTTCCTCGATGTCTACAATATTCACCTTAATGGTACCATCATCACTACCACTGACTAGAATTTCATTTCCCCTACGAGCAGAAGATACACTATTAACAAATGATGTGTGGCCTTTGAACTTTTTTATTCTTGTTCCGGTTGTTACATCCCATACGCCAACAGTTTTATCTGTAGCGCACGAAAAAATCTTACTAAAAAAAAAAAAAAAATGATGAATTCATGATTAAAGATGTTCAAAAGGTATTCAGGCAACTTACCTAGAATCTCGTGACCATTGAAGTTCCATAATCGCCCCATTATGACCTTTTAATACGCCATAATTAATGCAATCACCATATGTGTTCCATAATACTAATAGAAAGTTAGCAATTCAATGAATTTATTACTAGTCAGGTATTTTTGTTTACATCCTCTTGCACATATAATTTTAAGCCGAAGTATAGAAATAATTCTCTTACATATAGTTCTATCAAATGAACCAGAAGCTATGTGCTCTCCGGAAGGATTAAATCTTACAGTGAATATTTCTCCCTGAAATTCAATAAAATTATTTAAAGTAAATTTGACTATAAAACAAAAAATTTCTTTTTGAAAACATTCTAAATAAGATAACAACCTCACACCTGATGCCCGAGTAATAGCATTATCGGCGCTTGAAGACCCGAGGTACGTTTAATCTATAAAGCGATCAACGAAAGTTAAAACTATTTTTTTTGAAAAATTATACTCAATATAGATCTGTACGAACCGTTTGTATTAAAGTACCACTAGATTCTGAAATGGTCAGCGCATTTGATTGATCCGGTGTCTGTCTTACGATAATCTGTCCAGCGTTTGATTCAGACATTGTTTCAAACGGTTTTTTACAATAAAGTTTGACGATTTTTACGTTGAAATAGTTTCAACGGTTTTTTTACAACGTTTGATAAGAAATGTCGAATCATGTGATTATTAGGTAACTAAGATAGTCACGTTTAAGGTTTAATGAAAGTTATATTATTCGCGTGAAATTAAGTACTAAAATTATAAAATACAAGTATCATTTTTTTATTAAACCTGTGCTTTTTTTCTTACTTTTCTTATTCTTTCCAGATATATAAATATATTCGATAAAACGATCTATACTGTAAATAAAAATAATTATTTTAGCAATCGAAAACTAAGAATAATGCAAGATTCTAAAGGTTTGCCTTTTTCATTCTATTAACGCGAGTAACTTATGCAATAATTTACTTACAATGCTTATTTGAGTTGGTCTTTGTTGTTTAAATAAAAAGCTTAATATGAAAATTTTTAGATAATTAATTAAATTATTTATTAACAGATTCGGAAAATTTAGACACTACAACAACCGTGGAGAGCACAGTACATGTAGATAATCAATTGAATGAAGAATTAAAAAGACCAAGAAGAGTATTAAAAACACATCGGAAAAGTGTGGATGATCCAAAAACTTTGTCATCGTTACCACCTAAAAAAAACGAAAATGTTGATGTAGATGAATTTGATGATTCCATTACAACTGAAAGTTTGAAGGTAAATCAAAATTTAAACATATTAGATATGTAACCAGTAGAATTTATATCTTTATATTGTTTTAGGAAATACTTAATGTTACTCAGTCTCCAACAGAACATGATGGTACAGAAAAACCGAATAATGGCCAGAATTATGATAACTCTTCTCAAAAGGTTGAGTACAAAGTTAATTTAATTCTGATAATTTAAAGAGATGTGTTTTTCATTCGCTAATTTCTTTTTTACTTTCGATCGAATTATTAAGGAGGAAGATGCTGATATAGATGGAGAGATAGAAGCTTCTGAACAAATGCGAAATAGTAAGATATTATTGTAGGTTTAATTGTATTTTATTTATTAAATAACAAATAATAATCTATGATTTTACAGTTCCTTCTTCCCAGCATGAACCAACTTCAACTCTTCACATTAAAAATTTTGTTCGGCCTTTGACAATTCCTATGGTTAGGGACTTGCTAGAACAATTTGGTAGAATCGAATATTTTTGGATGGACAAAATTAAAACTCATTGTTATGTTAAAGTAAATTAAATTACTCAAATGAGAATTAATTTTTATATATATATATATTGAATAATTTGTAATCATATTTCAATTTGTTAAGTTTGAAACATCAGAATCGGCTATTTCTGCACGAGAGACACTCTGGCATATTATCTTTCCGCCTGAGACTGGTCGGCCTCTTGAACTTGAATTTTTAACTTTTGAACGGGCACAAGAATTAATTGCCGAAGCAGAAGAAAAATCGGCAAAAAGCGGAAACGGAGCTTTGCGCGAGGCAAGGGATAAGAGACTTAACGGGAGCAGCAATTGTAATGTATTTTTTAATTAATTACTTATTCGCGTTATCCTTTGATAAAATATAAACCTTATTTTAAAACTAACTATAGTGGGAATTGAAAATGCGATCCGTTTTCCGATTCCAGCATCACAATCACAACCTATATCTAACGTTAGAGTTATATCATTAGACACTCTTTTTTCAAAAACTTCTACAAAACCTACACTATATTATAAAACAGTTTCTCAAGAAGATGCACAAGCAAGAATGAGAATTATGGAAAGGAGTAGGGGAAGGCGTCGGTCGTAAGTTTAGTATTTGGCAAATAAATTTAGTACTTACAATTTCTTTCCAATTCAACAGGATATTTATAGGAAGAATAATTGTTATTGAATTTATTGCATTTATACTCTCTTTAGTTTTGTTTTATTTCTAAATGTTTTATTACAGTGTCTAAAAACAGGGTTGTAGATATTATATTTTTTATGCAGATATTGTTAATCTAGAAAAATAGCATTTTGGATTTAATAAAACACATGATGACAAAAGATAATATATTTAAGGTATGTGTGATTTGTTATTTGTCGATATAACCCTAATATTTGTTTATATTTATTATTATTATTTTTTTTTTTTAACAATGTTACGGTGATTCTTCACGACAGATTCTACATTTCTCAATATTCTTAATTGTATGTACTTTCTTGGTCTCATAAAGTTATGTTTATAATAATGTCTAAATATTGATTATAACAATACATTTCCCAGAAATCCCCTATTTGCTTAGTTATGATTTGCCGATAAAGACATTTTCATTTATCAATTATCTGTTATTGATTTTTGTAAAGTATGTTCCATGATTTTTTTTCTGTATTTATTCTAGATTTTCAATAAAATTATTATAAAGTCACGTGCTAGTTATTAAGTCGTTAATTATTGGGTACAAATAGTGTAGAAATGTCAATATTAATATTTAAATGAAATTAGATTGGATTTACAAGTAGTATAATTACATGGTGCATTTATTATTTTTTTTCTTTTTAAAAAAAAACAATGCAATCATGTTTATTAATAATAATGCAGAAATGTAAAATATATTTACAAAGTAAAATACAAGTACTATATACTAGAAATGTTTAAAATTTGACCAATAACCACCTCACTGAAGTAATTTCACTTACTTCTAATAGATAAATTTATTAGTAATTTTACCAGCAATACTATTAATAATCTAAAAAGAAAAATCATAATAATGGAATATAACATTTCCTTTTTATATGTAATTTATCTATTTGTAGTAGGATCTTTGAAATTTTTACTTCTAAATTTTACCTTATATTTCTGATAATCTCTATTATAAGTATTAAATAAGTGGAATACTATTTCTTTATTTAATCTATTACAAAATGTTTTAGTTTTATTACTACTAGAATTTTTATTATAACTATTACCATATTTGCCCGAAAATAAGCAACAAGTTTTTGCACATAATGCCGGCCAAGTTTTGATAATGTGGACCAAAATTTGTTATAGTGCGGGCCATGTTGCTTATTTTTGGTGATTGCTTATTTTTGGGCAAATACAGTAATCTATTTTCTTTTAAAATAAAACTTCTATATATACTGTATATTTTTTATTAAAGTTATATACAGTATATATATTATTTAATATAAAATAGTCAAATAATTTATTAGGGTAAATAAAGATAGACAAACTGAAGTTTTGTTCCAAGAAATACAAAAAGCTAATGCTAAACGGATGACTAAGGGTGATTTTTCAAAATTGGATGATAAATTGAGAAAGTATTTGGACATGAACGGTCATATGACCAACAAGAGAATAGAAGGTACTTATAAGGATTTAAGTCAAAAAGAAATTGCTGGAGAGGTTTCAGTATCTGCTGAAGAGATAGAAATATATAATTAAGGTTGCCTGCCTAAACCTCTCCAAAATTTTATGATTAGTTTCTCCAAAATTTTACTATAGTTTTATTATAGTTTCAGCAAAGTTTTAGCAGTTTCAGCATTTATAATAAGTTTTGTCAGGTTTCGCTTTTCTCCAGAGTTTTGCCAACTTTTTAATAAGACTTTCATATAGTTTTGGCAAAGTTTTACCATTTCAGCATTTCGCCAACTTGCCAAAACTAAAGATGTTAGCCGTAATTCAAAAAAGTGTCGTAATACAAAATTTTTATATGCCGTAATTAATTAAGGCTATAAAAATCTTATAACCGTAATTCAAAATTTTTTAAAAAATAATTAAGGCTAACGTCATTAGCCAAAACCCCCTAGTTTTTCAGCAACCTTATATATAACAAGATAAATCAAGTTTGTTCATCACGTTTACTGCCTAAAATAAAAAAAAAGAGAAAGTTGTGATAGACAAAAAAATTGGATAAAAGCGAGTTAATAAAGAGAAATTGAGTAGGGGAACGGTTAGTAGTAAAGGTTCTGAAGATAGCAGTGAATCAGAAAATGATGAGACAATTTTAGAAGGGAAAAAACAGGTAATGGGAGGAGGAAAAAGTAAAAAAGGGAGTAAAAGTAGGAAGTCAAAGAAAAAATAAAGTGTATTAGCTTAAATTTTAATTAAAAAGGGTTAAATTAAAATTAAAAGATGGCTAGCATTAGTATAATTGATAGAATTTATAGTTAAATTTTTATATATTTGTAAAATATTTTGGTTTTATTATGTTGGTTTTTGAAATTTTTAGATTAGTTACTTTATTAGTAGATACATAGCGTTTAAATTGTGATAGTTTGTGTTATATAATTATCACAATATTAATAAAGATTAAATTTGTGAAAAAAAAATATAATTTATTAGGATAACTATTTATAGCTTAAAATATATAATTGAATAAATGCAATATAATTTATAAATTTAAAAATAAAAATAAAAAAGAATATTAATATAATAAAAAAGTAATAAATATTTTTAGTAAATGATTTTTTAATTTTTTTATAATATATATATTTATAATACTTTTTATTAATTAGATTTTATATAATTATAAAATTATAAATAATTTTAAGACTATTTATTTAGCTTATAAATGCAAATAAAAATTTTTTAAATGTATTAATTATAAAACTAATTTTTTTACATTATACTATATTAGAATTTACTTTTTATAATAAAAATTATAGTATTTTTTACAATAATAAGAGTATATTAGAAATTATTAAATCTTATAATTAGATATTATAATATACCTTTTGTAGTTATATTACATTTTATTAATTTATATAATTTATTTATTAAAAAAGTTTTTATAATTATCTTATTATTCAATAATTTAATTTTAATACAGACATACAGTAATACCTTTCTAAGTGCTAAGTGCATATATCTTAAAATCGGTTATATATGTATATTTAAGAAAAGTATATACTTAAAGAATAGCTAATAGAAAAATAAATATTAATTAAATCTAATAAAACTTTTAAATTCATAATTTCCTTAAATTTAAAATACTTTTTAATACATTTCAAATCAAAAAAACTAATATATTTATGACTTATTAATAATTTATTTAACTTAAATAAATTAAAAAAAATTAAAAGTGACTAAATACTATTAATAATTGAACAATATTATATAATAATTATATAAATGTATTTATAGAGAATGATGCAGAATTCAGAATTACTTATATATATAAATATAGAAAAAGTGCATTTAGTTTTAAATTTCAAATTTGAAATCAAATTATAGTATGTATATAGAAAGAAAGTGTACTTAATAGAAATTGTTTATAAAATAAATCTAACGATTATTTTTTAAATTTATTTATTATAGTTAATAAAATTACTTTATAATAAGTTTTTTTAATATATATAAATATTTAGCCAAATATCTTTTATTATAATTAATTAACTAATTAAATTTTTTAAATTTTTACTGTAATTTTTAAATTTGAAATAAAATTAAAGAATTCATTATATCAAAGTTAATTATATTTTAAAAATTAAAATAACAAAAAAAACTTTGATTTTGCAAATTAATTTTATTTTTATAATAATATAACTATATTTACTGATAATAAAGCAAAAAAATACTAATTAATAATCTGATAGGATTCTAAAGAATATATATAATACTGGGATCCAAATTTGTATAAACTACTATGTAATTTTCTGATAAGTTATATGGTTGAAATTGTATAACCAGTTAGCAGTTATTTTTTTCTTTATAAATGTAAAATTGTACTTTATTAACAAATTTTAAAGTACTCTATCCCAAATAGTAAAACTCTCAGATCAGCTACAATCAAGATCTTATCAGAGTTGAGGAGTTTTCGTGCCCATTCTGATAACTTGTCTTCATTTTGGATTCTCATATTCACTATCTCCACACAATCCATGACTATTCTCTATTTGTACGAATGTAATGAGAAGACAAGTCTATTTCGCTGATGAAGGAGCTTGAAATAATACATACCTTCAACATCCATACGCTAGCCAAAACCCACTGTTGTATTACCATGGTCTTAGATAAGGGACATTATTAAAAAAGTTCGATTTGATGATATTATTTGGTAATTATCCGATTATCCCGAATTTCATTTTCTTGTTTTTTATAATCCATTGGTACTTTATGCATGGAGTGATTGTTATATTGTTCTTGACCGGGAGAATAAAACAACACATTTTCTTTGACTCTTCCTAATATTCAAGAGGCATTATTGTAACGCTGGCCATTTTTCTTGTAAATTATCCAATCATGGCCAAGCGTAAATACTTAAAATTAAAACTCTTAGTATAATACATGGGGCTGAGGCATGCGCTAGTGCGCTAGACTGACTGGCGAATAGTTCTAAGAATCGTGTCCATCCGGTCAAAATTTTATTTTATGGTAAAAAAAAATTTTTTTTACATCATTATCGAGTATATATGCAAAAAAATGAGATAAAAGTGGACAAAAGTTATCCCGTTCATCCAAGAGATGATTACGAACATGAATACAGTTCTTGAAAAGGAAATTATACAAACATCATCGTTCAGATACTGTTACTTCGTGCAAGACTTTAAATGTGCATACAAGTTTATCCATATTTTAAGAATTTGGTAAATTCTTTGTGCATAATAGCGATTCCGAAGATGATTATTTGTCAAAGTCATCAAAGTTTTCTTAGTAGACTTTGAAATCTTATAGATTGTTAGAAAATGATGTTTCAAATTATTGTTAAATTACTTTCTCATCTTGTTCTTCACTTTATGAAATTTGAAGTTATTTATTGCTTTTAAACTCATCGACTGCTTGAACCCATCAGTCATACTACACCACCTAAAATCTTCAATCATAAAATAAATTCTTAACTCATACTTCATTACCTTCTATTTCTTCAACAGACAAAGTTTTTATAGATAGATAAAGATAATCCTTTAAAATCAGATAACATCAGACACTTTTTATGTTCATACCATGCATTATTGTCCATGTTTCCTTTGTAAGTTCTTTTTGCAAAATACCTCTTTTTTTCCTAAAGGTCTCTCAATTTTTTAATTTTTGTGTTTTCAGGTCGTTCGGTGCTCCATAATCGAGTTCTAAGAAAGTTTTGCGAATTTGCTTGACAATGCGAGAAAGATTTAAAATTATACATTTGAGTTATATTCATACATCGATTATAATTTTTAATTATTTAGACATTTTTGTGAAAATGATGTAGTTGATTGTATATTTGAGTTATATTGGAAAGTTCTAAATTTTTTTAATTTTGGCCAACGCGAGTTTACAATTATATAATTCTGGCCAAGATTTCACGCGAAAAGAAGTACTGAATGGTATATAATTAATTATAGTGAACCCGCAATAAAAATTTTATTAAAAAAACATGCAAAGATCTAATAATGAAATTCAAAAAGATTAAGTTTAGAATAACTTTACTATAATCTGTACCAATATCTGATGTGTGCTCATTTAGAAATTAATTTGAAATTGGAAATTCATTTATCTTTGATACAAACATTTGTATCACCTTGCGTAGTCCTTTTGGAATTTGGACATGCATAACTTTGTAAATAGTAACAAACAAACAAATGCGTACAAGGTTACAAATACGCACTATAAATCATTATAAAAATAGAAATCGGGATAAAATAAATCATATTCTGGAATTCTTTCCTACGATGAAATTTTGGATAGGAGTTGTTTCAAATGATCATGTGAAAATTGGAATAAAAGAAGGTTTATATATTAGTTATTATTTATTTATTCATTCATTTATTTATTTTAAAAGAAAAAAAATCTAAATTGAAAACTATAAAATTCAGGATTTGCTCAATTTGGCCATGGTAAACTTTCACCTATCAAACGTCTTGGAAATGGGGATATTATTATTTATTACTCACCTCGAGAAGAAATGAATGTTAAAAGCTTAGCAATAAAAGGTTTTACCGCAATTGGCGTTGTAGAAGGAAAAATTCCTTACAATCCTCCCGGTCCTGCTCGTGTTAAAGTGAAATATTTAAAAACAAAGAAATATCTTCATATTCATGATGTGTTGGATAATTTAACTTTTATAAAAAATAAGAAAAGATGGGGTATTTTGTTTAGAAGGAGCTTATTTGAAATCAATAAACAAGATTTCATGTTGATTTTAAAAAATATGGTTGACGAAGAAATATATAAACAGTTTGAATAATAATAGAGGCACAGTTTTCAATGTATGTCGTATGTCATCATTACTTAATAATGTTGATTGTTACAATAAACAATAACAGATTGACAATTTTGTTTGGCAATTTTAAAAAAATTTTCTCTCCTTATTTTTTAGACCGAAAATGTTATTTTCTTTGCAAGATGTATTTCTATATATTGAATTATTTATTCTTGCCTATACTATCAAATTTTTCTATGATGTATGTGATAAAATAAGTCATTATTATTTTACTTATCATTGTATTTATTAAAATGAATTTGTTTGCTAGGTTATTTATCTAGCATATTTTAGCCCACTCAGAATGATACCCGGGCCTAAACATTTTGCTCTTACGAAATATTTTGTTTCAAAGAAACATACTAATGGAATGAGGTGGAAATGGCTACAATATGAATTATTTCCAGAATACGGGCCGGTTGTTCGAATTGCGCCACAGGCAGTAATCATAGCAGATCCTGATATGATTAAAGAGATTTTGGTCATTAAAGATTTGCCAAAAAATCAAAAATATGACCAACTAAGAACCAATCTAAGCATTCCGACATTGTTAACAACAAGGTAAAATTATTATTTCAATAAATGTTATAATTCAATAAATGTTATAATAATAAATTACGTTAAATTTTTTAAATTTTAAATTATAGAGACAAAACATTTCATAAAAAGCGTGTAAGTCAATTTCTAAATATGTGAGATAATTTTAATTTTTTTTTAATTTTTAATTTTTTTTTTTTTACTTTGTTAACAGCGTCAAATTGTAGCACCTGCTTTCTCATTCAAATATTTGAATTCTATTGAGCCATTAATTCATAACTGCGTAAAACCATTATTAATAAAGTTTGATGAAATGGTTGATCAGAATCAAAATATTGTAAATATTTATGAAATGATTCATTATTGCGTATTGGATATAACTGGAGAAACGATTTTTGGTGGTTCATTTAGATTTATTGAAACTGGAAATCATCCATTACCACATAAAATATTTCAAGAATTGCGTAGGATGATAAAATTAGGAATGTTTCCATTTTTGAAGCCATTTATCAAACAGGATCCTTATATATTAAACGTAAAAACTATTATACATTACGTACATTACGTGTAAGTATATATAATATACAAGTATATATTTTAATATTATTTATATATATATTTTTTTAGTTCATGACTTCATTAATAAAAAATCGTCGTCAAGAGGATCCGGAGAGAAAAGATTTATTAGGAATGTTGTTAAATGCATCCGAAAGAAGTATGTCGGATATTGAACTTCATTATCAAGCAATTGAATTTTTGTAAGTGTGATATTGATAATTTATTAATTTCATTATGTGCAATTAACAAATAATAATAATAATCAATTTAAAATAGAATTGCAGGATCAGATACGTCAAGTTTTAGTTCAGCAATGACGATGATTAAATTGATTCAAAATCCGGATAAATTGGATACTCTTTTCAAAGAAATTGATGAATCATTCCCTGAATTTAATATTGATAAATTACCATCACATGATAAATTAAAGCAGCTACCTTATTTAAATGCAGTAATTAACGAAACCTTAAGATTACATCCTATCAATTATGATATAGGACCAGGAAGAATAACTATTGAGGATACAATTATTGGGGATTATTTTTTTCCGAAAGGAGTAAATATATTTATTATTTATATTAATATATTAATTTGTAATTATAATCAGTTATGAATTTTAATTACTTTTAAACCAAACAGACTACTTTGGCTGTTAATGCGTATAGATTACATCATTCTTCAAAATATTGGGGAGATGACGTTGAAGAATTTGTTCCCGAAAGATGGTTAAATCCGGAAAGAATACCAAAAGATTGTTTTTTGCCATTTTCAGCTGGAACACGTAATTGTATTGGTCAAAATTTTGCTATGATGGTGATTCGTATTATTGTTGCTACATTAATCCAAAAATATAAATTTGAAGATATTCTTAATCAAGATATGGATATTGTTCATTATTTAACTCCTAGTTTAAAGACTAAACAATATAATGTTAAAATTTACTCAAGAAATTAAAATTATGTCTCTTAATACATTATTATAATAAAGTTTCCCCTATTTCTTTATGAATGCTTAATATGCATATTTTTGCATAAGTAAATTGTTAATTTAAACAATGAAATTTTTTTTTTTTTTTTTAATAAAGGGATGATTGTATTCCGTTTTGAATGATTATTGATCTGCTTTAAAGGAATCGAAGTTAATCCTTTCCCTATTTAGTTCATGGAGACCTTTTCACATGATGAAAATCTCCAAATTTTCGATATATGTTTCATCATACTTAGCTCTGATACAACTCTTTTTTAAGGTGTCAGGCCTCAGGCGGGCATTCAATAATTTTTTTTCTAGTAAAGGAAAGAAAGCTTTCGATCTTGATTTATATTAACGTTAAATACTTTTTTTTCAAGTATTTAACAAAGCAATATTTAATTATTGCTTCTTGAAACAGATTTTCATTTTATTATTTCCCTCATCGTCTAAACATCTTGTTAAAATGGCTCAACAACAATTACAAAAATATGAGCTTACTCCACCAAAAAATTTAGTTCGTCTTCACAAAGAGAGTATCGAGTTAGGTATGTCTAATATATTTTGATACTTTTTTACATTGATTTATTTAAATCTCTCTGATTTTACTAGTTTATGAGTTAATAAGCTTAACAAGTAGATCCTTGTAATTCAATGAATTTCTTCGAATTTAATTAGCATTCAATAAAAAAAGGATTATTTATCAGTTGTCAATCACTTAATTGATTATTACAATTTTAGGCTTTCCCGATTTTTATCCTCCAAAATCCGGTCAGGATGAAGACCAGATGACCGAAGAAAATGTAAAAAAAGGATTTATTGATTCCCCATTCGTTCAAAACGAACATTTTTCTGCTCACGATGTGATATTTGATGAATTAAAGAAACCCGATACTTTAAAGAACCTTGGTGATTTCATGACAGATGTAATGAAACGCAAAAATGAAACGACTTTCCAAGGGTATTTAGGGTTATATTGTCTTTTAATTCATATTAACCTAGCATTATTTTCTGATATTTTTATCTTTTTCTTATTTATATCATAGATCTTCGCAATTTATGGGTCCGACCATTGTATGGGTCACTGTTGAAGAACGAGACAAATGGTTGCGAGACCTTGCTGGAAATGTACCGTTGAAAATATTAGCAAGGAGCGTTCCTAAAGGGTAAATATCACTATTTATGATAAAGTTTATGAAGAACTTTTAATCTTATTGTAAATATTTATTAATTAGCGTTGATGGTAAAGATTTGCTCGAATCTGTCACGTTATATCGTGTTCCACTGGCTCGTGCAACATGGTTTACTAAAGTTGTCGGCATAAATAAAATAATACAGGTAAAAAATATTATTATTTCTTTTTTTAAAATAAATATGGAAATAGGTGAATATAATTAAATATATACTCTTTTTACATTACCGTATAGCGTGGAAATACAGATTATACGAAGGAATGGACAAGTATATTTTATCATTTCATACGGGATCAAAGCTTAAGCCATGATCCTGATAAATGGCGATATAGGTATGTAAAGAGCATACAATCAAAAATTTCGATTTGGTGGTATTCTTTGTTTATGAAGACTAATTAGTAATTTTATCTTATTTAGTATATTGCTTGCCAAGTGGCAATTCGATGAACAGTTACTTGACCAACGACTGTTAAGATTTACGTTGGAACAGTTGGACGAAGCTGATCATTGTCAAACCCCAATGTGGCTTTGGTTGGTTCAGCAGTTTCTTTCTGAATTTCAAAGGTCACGAACTTTGATGCGTTTATTAATCGAAATTATAATTAAGAAATTACAAGACGTAAGAGAATATCACATTTCTTATCATAATTTAACGCTTTTTTTAACGGGTTATTAATATGATTGTAATATGTTTAATTTTTAGATACATCAACATCCTCATATAATAATAAAACTTGAACTAGTCGTAAAGCTGTTGAAAAATATGTTACATGTATACTTATAAAAATATTATGTATATGGTTTTTTTTGTTTATTTTTAATTCGTGGTTAGTAATATTATTTCTATTATGTTATGCAGACTCTATTTATTACAACACCCGATATGTTTGTATTTCCGGTATGTTGGAATACGTATAAAGATTTACTACGCGTTGTCCTAGTTGATGATGATTCTAAAACCGATCCTCCGAATTTAAAACATCAAAGAGAGCGGTATTTTGAAGCGGTTCGTTCAAGAAATGAAATATTTGATGATAAAAAAATAAATCCGCTTGGAATGAGTAATGCTCGAGATGCGTTAGATTCTAGGATGATAAGTGTACGCGGTTTTCTTTTATTTATCATTTGTATATTAAATTTATTCGGGTTATTAAAATGTCTTTTATACATCACTAGATTCTAGACAAAATAACTTATCGTATCGATTACCATAATATTACAGCCGAATACTTCCGTACAAATAGTAATTTCCAAATGATGGAAAGGGAAGTTTCGAGACATATTCACACACTATGTCGTTGGACTATAACACCCTTTCGAGAAGGAGATTTTCGAGCATATTCTGTAAGTACAATACTGGATATTTGGAAAAATGGAGTATCTGATGTCAAAGAAAAGTTGGAACGAGAAACTATTATTCAATCTTCTTTAGTTGAATTTTTGGACATATACCCATTTGGAGTAAACGGACTTAATGAGCGAGAAGGTATATAAAATTTTATACTACATATTTAAGCTCCAAATTAATTTATTATTAAATGCAGAATCAGAAGCAATAGCCAGGCTTTTTGGAGTGCTCACAAAAAATGGTCATTTTTCGTATCAAAGATATTTACAACGTTTGATTGCAAGAGGTGACGTCAGACCTGAGAAGCGGACTACGGAGGTAGGTACATTTAAATCTTTATAAATGTGTATATTTAATTTTTTAAGAACGTAATCTATCAACTAATTAATTAACTATAATATAGAGATCTCTTCGTCATTTAAGATATGTGAAGTGGTTTGCAATTTATGAAACCGACTTACATGATTTAAATCATAGTATAAATCAACGATGGCATATTTTGTATGGTATTAATAGTAAGGTAATATTTATGCTATATGTTTAGGAACAAATATATGAACATCCCAGAGTTATAAACAAGAGAATATGTTTTATAAATGACAGGATACCTCAGACAAAAATACAACCGATACTTTATCCAATATTGTAAGCGAAAAGTTACCTAATGTGTTTTCTCCAAAAGGTTTGTATTATAATAGTGATTTTTTTTTCTACTTTTAATTATGCATCGTGCTTATTCTGTGTTATTATTTAGCAAAGGATATGAATGCTCCAATTGTAGATGATCCTGGATCCGACTTTAATTGTTTGATTAATTTTGACGATTCATCCCTTGAATTTATTCAGAATGCGACAAAATTTTGTCAATTTCGTGTGGTACAAGAATTTTTAATTCCATCTGTAAAAAGATTTGTGCAAAATACTCCGTAAGTATTAAATTATGGAAATTTTTTTATCAATTTATTTGAATTAATCTTAATCTATTTTTGAATACAATAATTAGTATCGATGATACTAACTGGAAGAGTCTGGCGGAACCGGGATCATCTTTATTAAACGCACGTCAACTTGCTACAATAGTTCAATTCATTGAATTAACAAAAGATTATAGTTCCTTGCTAGAGGTTAATATTAAATTTCATAATTTTTTTCGAATGGAATTAACAGCCATTTAAAAACAAGTCTTAACATTGCTATTATTAACACAAAAAAAAAAAAAAAAAAAAAAATTTTATATAGCTTATAATATGGGTTCTTGAAAATTCTATGGAACGAACTCTTTTCCCATTGATTGTCGATACAATCAAAAGATATGAAATGATCTGGGATGCTATGGGTAAATCCGATGGAGTTTTCGATGTACTTATGAAGAAGGTAATTCATAATGAATTGCTATATTATAGAGTCGTGATGGTATTAAAAAAAATTTTTTTTTTTTTCAGAACGACCAATTACGAGAAAAACGTGCAACTGAAATTTGCATTGTTAAATATCTGTCAGGCGTAATTCAAGATCCGGAAAAAAAATCAAAAGTATTTATCATACTATTTTATTTATATAATAATTCCAGGAAAGACTATTATATTTTAATAATGATAAAAATTTTTTATTATTATGATAGCTGGATCATGATTATTCACAATTTCCGACAAAGGTGAAATAAGTTTTTCTCTATTATATACACATATATACATATATGTATTAAATATTAATATATTTAAGTAAATTTTTTAGTCGCCATTATCTGTAACAATTAGTCGTAATAGAGATCGGCTAGGACAAGATGTTAAGAATTTATTGAATCGAACCCGCGGGTTTGAATTGTCTATCGCATCTAATATTGATTCACGATGGTTTCAGTCGGATTCTGTTGATGTATATCTACATGCCATACTTGAATCCTGCACTGATGTTATTCATCGGCATTTACAGAATTATAGTGAATGGACTGATGCCCGGAAACTATTGGATGTTATTGGAGATTTGTTAAAAGAAGTTGGAGATAGGACAACAGATGGGTTTGATGCTGTATTTTCCAAAAAATGGTTAAATTATTATATTCGAGCAGATGATGATGATAGTCTTCTGAGACAAGATAGGTTCTTAATATTCTTCACAGTCCTTGTTGTTCGCCATCTTGTTAAGATAGAAACTATACTTGAACATTTAGTTGAAAAAAATTTGATCCGATTCTCAGATAAATTATTGAACAAAAAACAATTAGACTCAAATGAAATAATTGAATGTCGTAATTTAGCTATTTTATTGAGAATATTTTTAATACATAAGAATGTTTCTTCGGGAATTCCTTTAACTACAATGGTGAGTAAAGTATTATGTTACTGTTGTAAATTTTATTTTATATTAATTTTTAATAATTATTTAGGAAATTCAAAGGCTTCAATTTATTTGTGAATCATTTATTCATAATAATGATTTCACAATAATATCAAACGTATTCCAAAAACTTGCCATTATTGAAAGTTCATTAGGATCTAACGATGATCTTGCGATTGAATTACAACAGCTTAGAATGGATTTTTCTCAGGTTTATTGGTTTAAACAATTATGTATAGCTAATATTGATAATGTATACGATCGATTTGTAAAAGGTACTAAGAAACAGAACAATAGTAAAGAAGTTAAAAAGCTAATGATTGAAATAGTACGATCAGGTCTTGGAAACTTTTCTTATGATAATGGTAAGAAACTTTTGTTATTCCACATAAATGTAAGAATATTAATAAATACGCATTTATTAAATTTATTTTTTAATTTTAGACGTTATGAACGGTTATTCAAGCTCATTATGTTTTAAAAATTTAGAAAGAATATTTTCCACGGTAAACTTATGGAATATTCAAAAGAGTCGTATTGAATTTTTTATGTGCATGGACCAAATAATGCTACTAGATTCTTCTAGTAACGGGTCTCTTCATTCTAACATGGAATTGGATGGTGATTTAATTATGGGAGGATCGGAAGAAGATTTAAATAATATAAAGAGTAGAGTAATTGAATATTTCTGGGAAGAACTGGTATTGAAGGGAAATAACGATTGTCTTATAATAAGCCATATAATACGAGGTATTCGAGAAGATGTAGCTGCAGAGGTTTGTTCACTTTGTTATTATGTTTACTAAAACAAATTAAAATATTTTTCAAATTATTTATTGATGATTATTCGAAAAAACTAGCTTCTGGAACATGGACTTACAGTATTAAAAAGATGTGGAGAGTTGATTATAGGTATCGAGGAAGTGTTCCGAGCTTTATTGCTTTCAGTAAGAGACAATAAAAAAGAATTCAGCGAGGCATTAATAAATCAAATACAGAAAATAATTGACGAAAATAAAGATCATACATTTGTGCCTTGGTGCGTATAATTTATTTAATTCGAAAAAGGAAGGAAATATTAAATAATAATCTAATAAAGGTTTTTTTTTTCATTATAATAGCATTATGACACGTATAAAATTGTTCGTTTTGGTAGCAAATGTATTGGCTGCTCGAGTTACAGCGGTTGTTACAACTAATTCCATCGAATTTGCAAATCGAGTACCAGAATACAACCTCATAATGAAATGGGTGGTTACGTTAATTAATTTACTTTGTAGTGAACGAATTCATCAAAATGGGGGTGGTGCTGATAACTTTGACCTGATCCTCGATATAGTGTCCTTTTTGATAGATGGTTGTGTATATTTCGCTGTCACTTAATTTCTTGAAAATCAAAAAAAAAAGATATTAATAATTCTTTTATAATGTATTTAGAGATGGGAAAAATTCCTAGAGCGATTGTTGTTGCAGAGTTGAAGGTAAATAATAAATTTTTATTTTTTACTTAACTGCATTTGTCGAATTTGTCGATAATTTTGTTTATTTATTTTTTTTTTTTTACTTTCACAATAAATCCAATCAACTTTGAAATGGATAGAATGTAAGTTAGTTTAAATTTCTATAATTTAAATAATGTATATTTTTCACTTATTGAACCTTTTTTTTTATTAATAGCGATATCACTTTAACATACCGGTCATATGGAGCAATCGAATTAAGCGTGTTCTTCCTCTAAATATTCCCAAAGAAACATTAGGTAGACTCAAGCATGAACTTGATGCTTGGCAGTTAATTGAGGGAATTGGAGAAAATGATGATTTAAATAATTCGGCTATTGATTTATCTTGGTATGATGCCAAATTTTATCAAAAACCCAGTAAACGACTGAAAAGATCTGATGAATATGAAGATTATAATTTAGATTTCAATAAGAAATATAATGAAGAAAACGGTCATCTCGAACCATAATTTTCGAAAATTAATTTTATTTGTATTATATATTGTAGATTATTATCGAGACATAAGACATTTTCTTTTAAAGTATGGACTTACACAACACTCTGACAACTAAAAAAAGACATTTATCAAGTAATATCAGACTTGTACGAAAGTTGGAATCATTATATTAGAATAAATTATAATTATTTATTTGTAACTTATTTATTAGATAAATTAAATGGTTTTTTTTTGTTTTTTTTATTAAAATATATATATATAGAGTATAATGATTAAAAAACTTGGTAATATTTTTCTCATGAAACAAGTTCTAATTTGTTTCGTTAATTTTGATGATTTTCTCTTAATTTTTTTCTTAAAATTTTACCGGCAGCACTTTTTGGTATTTGATCAATATAAATTACGCCACCTCTTAATTTTTTATGAGGGGCTACTTGATTATCAACAAATTTTCTAATTTCTCCAGAAAATTCATTAGTACGTTGACTTTTTTGTTTAGTTACAACATAAGCAACAGGATATTCGGTTGCATCTTCTTCGGAATATACACCAATTACAGCAGCATCAGATATTGCAGGGTGAGTAATCAAAATTGCTTCTAATTCTGCTGGAGCGACTTGAAATCCCTATAATGAAGAATTTATTATTAAAAAAAAAGTAAAATGGTTTAAAATCATTTTCATTTAATTTACCTTATATTTAATTAATTCTTTAACACGATCAACAACATAAAAGTAACCTAATGAAAAATAAAAATTATTAAAGCTTGAAATTAGTCATTTATTTATAAAATTGAAATTATTTATTTAATTATAATCACCATTTTCATCAACTTTAACAATATCTCCTGTGTGAAAAAATCCATCTTTATCGATAGATTCATCAGTTGCTTGTTTATTATTTAAATATCCTTTCATAATATTGGGTCCACGAAGGCAAAGTTCACCTGGCGTATTATATCCTACTTCTAAAAAAAAAAAAAAAATTATTAAATATATTATTATATATTTACTTTATAATGTATAATATATATTTATTATTATTATTATTATTATTACCTTGACCATCTTCATTAATTAATTTACATTCGAGATTTGGAAGAAGTATCCCACAACAACCAGGAGTAGAATCATTAGTATAACCAAGAAGAGCTACGGGTGAAGTTTCAGTTAAACCGTAACCTTGCTTAATTTTAATTTTATGTTCTTTATAAAAACTTTCACTTAATTCTTTACTTAATGGAGCAGCACCACTAATAACTAATTGTAAACTTGAAAAATCATATTCTTTTGCTTTAGGATTTTTAACTAATGCAAGTATAATTGGTGGAACGATATGAGTTATTGTAACTTTATAATCTTGAATTATACGACAAAATGGTTCGAAATCGAATTTAGAAATAACAACACATGAAGCTCTCTAAACAAGAATGAAAGAAACATCAAGTTAAAATAATAATGAAAAAAAAAATATATATTACATAAATGAACTTACGAAGTAGAGAGTAAAATGCATATTAACAGTCAATGCATAAATATGATAGAATGGCTAAAATAGGGAATAAAAAATCATTTAGAATTTTTTAATATTCGTTCAAATAATGCTCACACAAAAAAAAAAAAAAAGGAATTAAATATACCAATACGCCAACATAAACCATATCAGAATTAGTTTCTATTTCAACTTTTGAAATCTGTAGTACATTAGCGACCACATTATAATGAGTGGTTTCAACACCTTTTTGTTTACCAGAAGTACCAGAACTGTAACATATATAAGCAGTTGTATTTTTAACTTCTTCAGGGGTATATTCCAAGGGAATAGCTTCACGATCACCAAATAAACTAGTATAAGGTAAAATTTCATTTATTTTTTCATCACCAAAAAGGAATATATTTGATTCAGGAATTTTTGCTGCGGTGGCAGCTTTTACCGCAACTTGGAGAAATAATGGATGCGTTACAATTACGGATGATCCAGAATCTTTTAGTTGAAAAGTATATTCTTCAACAGTATACGTTGGATTGGCAGGAGATACTACTCCACCTTTATAAATGAAAGATGAAAAGAAAGATTTTTTAAGGGGTTGAACTATATTTAACAAAAGATGAGTATTTAGTGAACATTTACCTGCGGCAATTGTACCAAAAATAACGGTCACATAATCAACCTAAATTAAAAGGATACAAATTAAGTATATTTAACAAACAGACAAACATATATAATATTTGTTATTTACCTGATTAGGAGAAAATATAGATAAAACATCACCACGTTTAAAATTAATTTTATCTTGTAAACCGGCGGCAAATTTTTTTGAATTTGATTTTAATTCATTTAAAGTTAATTTTTTATCAGTTAAACCATCAATAAATACAGTTTTATCATCTTTATCATCAGAAACATTTTTTTCATCTGGAAAAATAAATTGATAAATTCCAACTGTAGGAATATCAATATCTGGAATTTTTGATCTAAGTATAACCATATTTTTTTTGGAGAAAAAAAAAAAAAAATTAACCTTTAAGAAATTTTGTATTTTATCTCCTACCAAATTTATAAGATCTAAAAGGTAGCACCAATTTTAAAAATCGGTGGTTTCAAATGGGTTTTTTCCGTAAGTGATTTACTTTAAAAGGAAAGGAATCCGATTAGAATAATTTCTTTTTCTTGATGATCACAATTATCATGACAGACGATAATGCAATTTTATTGGAATTTCATATTAAACTAGTCTATTCTTTCTAAACAAATTATTAATCCTAAAAAAAAAATCTCCATATACAGTCAAAATCTGATATACTTTATATAATATTGTATACAACTATAGAAACCTATACCATACTTGTAAATAAATTTTTTATATGCCCATGATTCTCGCGTTGGATTGTTGGATTATAAACGTTTAAATACCTTTTTGAAACATTGTCTTAAAAGAGGGAGTATACTTTAACCATTTTGGGATTAGAAACTGTGCATGTCAGATGATACGAATATTACATAATATATTATTATTAATAATAAAGGAGGTTAAATGTTATCTAAAAAGAATCTGTGTATCAGAGTATGTATTATAAATATATTATAAAAATCGACACGAAAAAGTCTACAAACCGCGTATTATTGTTGAATTTGTGTGTAATTATATTAACAAGAATAACAAGGCATTTTTTTTTTTTTGACCTTTGAATAATTTTATATAATAAATATCAACCATTTATAAATAAAAAGTATACACAGGTGTTTTATTTTGAAAATGGGTTTACAGTAAATGATTTTGAAAAGTGAGTTTCGCCATGGCCCATGGCGTCATGGAGATATATCGCCTCAAATGTTTAGCGAATTAATCATGTGATTTTAGTTAATTTGCTAAAATAATGCTATATTTTAACATTATTGTACCCTATTTCTGTTCATAAATTCATACATTCTAATTAATTATTCCAACTAATTATTCCAAACTGAAATTAAGGTAATAAAGTAAGTTCAATATAAAAAATAAAATGTATATAAAACAAACAGATACAACAATTTCGACAACAATCTTGTTGATAATCACAAAGCCTTCAGGATTGTTCGACTTTGAACATGAATCATAGTAGTGTTTTAGTGAGAACAAATATATGTACGAACAACGGACAATTCTTCCCTCGTGACCTACACGATCTTTAATGACCGGTCATTTAGCCCAACCACTTATAAAAGCTTCGCAATCTTCCCATAATTGAAATTTCTTTTTTGAATTTTTTGAATGTAATAGCACATGTTCATCCTTATTAGACAAGATTGCTTCATCACAAACATCATTACAATTGTCTACAAAAAAAAAATAAAATAAAATAAAAGAAAGGTTAGAAATGGTTACTATTTTAACCCGAAATCATCTATCCTAATCCTTAATCCTAAACCCACTCTCGTTACCCTAACCCTAAGTTATTCTACCTAATTATACACATTGAGCAAATTCTGAAAGATGAATATTTTTGAATTCTTCTTCTCCCATAAGGTAGGTTTACGTGAAAGGGAAAAAATAAATGAAATTATTTATGGGATTTTACATTCAATATTTAAAGAAAGGAAAAAATAAATGAAAGAGAGTGGGAATTGGGAAATACAGATTGACAATAATCAAAACGTTTAATAAAGCATATCACGTGTTCACGTGACAAATAGGGACTGGCACCAGCGACAATAATCTTTCTTGAAAAATAAAATTCGCGTCAAATTCGTATAATTAAAAGTACGTTCAAGAAAGAAAATTTATTATATTTTTTTATTATCAAGCATCAAATATAATCCATTCCATGTGCTTATTTTTCAATTGCTAAAATTAACATCGTATTAGTAACCATATTAAAGATGAGAACTATAAATAAGCCGTTGTGTAATATGTGCAACATTTCAAATGTATATTCCCAGGAATGGATAAATTACTATAAAATAAAGTTTCATTGATTTTTGTCTTCATCAAAAGAAATTTTTATCTTTGCTTTCGTTATGATAAAAGGCGAAGAATTATTGTATTTATCAGCAATTAAGTGTATCGTCTCTCTATATAGTATTTTATTTCGATTTTTTTTTTATTTGTAATTTTTTTTTTTAAAAAAAAAAAATTGTTATTTGTTGTACATAAGCTGATACATTGTATATAAGTTAATGCATTGTATGACATTCATAGACATTATATTATTGTTACTTTGTACTACTACTAAGTTGTAGTTTATGGATTTTTTAATTGTTCTTTTATGGTCTTTATTATCAAAAGATATTTCAACGAAAAGATAGACTCATTATTATTGTTATTAAAGAATGTTCGTATGATTATATGATATATTGTAGTGATGGGCATTGGAAGTTGGAAGTACTTTTGAACTTCCAAAACTTCCAATTCCAATAATACATCTAATTCCAATAAAAATCATGAAAATCATTGGAAGCTTCCAATGCCCATCACTGTATATCGGTTAGGGATGGAATCGGTTCAAAATGAGTTGATTCGAGTCGATTCTAGAACCGATCCTAAATTTAAAAGATTCTGGATCTCCTGGGTTTAAAACCGCTACTTTTAACCATAAAACCCGTTCTGAGCCGAAACCGACTTTGAAACGATTTCAAGAACCTACTCAAGTTGAGTCATCAGTCAAGCTTTTGACGATTCACATACCAATTATCGTTTGAAGGCCAATCAAAATTTTGCTAATTGATCATTATTACGTGCTCTGCTTGTGCCCTAAATTTGACACATGTAGCTCATAACTTTATTTATTGGAGCCGAATTGGAGCCAATGTGGAACCGAATTAAGAACCGACGAACCGATTTCCATCCCTAATATCGGTACAAAAATATTAAAGATATTTAAGATATTAAATATATTGATTATTATTTCATATATTTATTTATTATTTTCATTCTATCTTGCTACAGTTAATTTGATTATTTTTTCTTAACCAAGGAGAATTATATGAACTATTTGTTCACGTTTGTTCACGTTATGACTTAACGTTCACCATAGCTTTGTTGCCAAAGAAAATAAATTTATAAAAACAAGAAAAAAATATGAATTTATAGGTTAAAAAGTGTCTCTCAATGGAGAGAATGGCTGAAAAATTTTACTTACTTTGATCATGTTACAATTGCTACATGGTTTCTTTCTGTGGTATAAATTATAATAATAATCATTTATTTTTTTTAAAAAAAACATATTCAAAAAAAAAAAAATTTTAATCTAAAGATAACCATTAAAATATAAGCATATATATATTTCATTGTTAGAAAGAAATATTTCCCAATTTTGAGAATTCGAATACAATATTAGAGGTAAATCTGGTGTAACATGGATATTGACGTTACCTGATTGGCTAATGTTCATGCGATTGCTATAATTAAAAACTCGTTTGACTTCTGGTTTTTTTTATTGCATTTATCCTAATATCGACTTTTAAAATAGCCTTAATGTTAAATGTAAGAAGCAAAATAAATTAAAAGATGTTAAACTTCGATTGAAGTTAACAATCATTTAATAATATATAACGAATTTATACTTCAGGCTATGAACTGGCCACATTTACAAGAATTGCAAGAACAGACTAATTTGGAATAAAAAAAAATGGATAATTGCTTTACCTTCGATATCCTAAAATTATAGGAATTCGCTGGACAAGAGGAACAGCAATAAAACATGAAAAAACATGAATATGCTGTAATGTTGTATCAAAGTCGACAGATGGGACTCAAACTCTTTAGTATCGAAAGAATTACATGATTATTTGTGAGACTCGTTATGTGCAGAACTACGATGAAACCTTCTGAATTATTGAATTAAACTCCATTGAATCGATAATTACAACTTAATTAGGATATCCGATGAATGTTATGTATATCGATATCAGAGAATATAAGTTGCACTTCGGATTATTAATAGACAATATTGTCTTTGGATGTATTTATTACGTTATTCTTTTCATTGTATGAAATTTCCTTTATGATTAAGTTTTGTTGGGGAAAAGTTTGATTTCGTAATATCATTTGTAAAGCAAATTTAGTATAGTTTAATAAAAATCACTTTATTCACAAAAAAGAAATATTGTAATGCATTTTAAAATGGTATAACGATACACAGATAAACAGAAGATCACTTTGCGCCCAACTAAGTTATTTAATTTTATTGTGCGCGAATCGCGTGAAACGTGATATGACGCGAATTTTAACTTTTCAAATTAATTCAAATTACAATTTACGGGTCATTTAAAACTGAGTTTCTAAATAAAATCATTTAAAATTATTTTCATGACTTTTTTTTTTTTTTTCTTTTTTAATAATGTCATTTCGACTNTATTATTTTTGATTTTATTTTTTTTTTTTTCCCAAAATTTTGCCTAAATCTGCTTAATCTGCAATAATGATGATTGGTATTTTTTTTAATATAAATAAACAATTACTATACCTTGCATAAATGTTTAAATATTACGAAATGTTCATTGATTCAACAATACCTTTTAACTCAACCGTTTTCCAGCCTCAAAATAAAATCAAATCATACGACTTGAATAAAAGCAAACTAATCAATAATGACTTTTGAGAAAAAAAAATTCTCTTCTAATAAGCAAACAAATTATATTGGTAATATATGTGTAGGTAATATTTTTATTAGAAAAAAAAAAAAAAAAATTAATTCATAATCCAAATAAGGTTCATTTTTTACATTATTATCTTTCTCAATTAATTCGTGCAATAGAAAAATTTAGGTAATGATCAGCGGTGTGATAAGTGACATAATAATCTTTAATAATCTTTTTTTTTTTTTTACCCCAAATATTTTTATTACGGTATAATTACTATACTACTTAATTAACTTTCATTAAAAAATTAATTTATTATGTAAAAAAAATTGATTTATAATTTTACCACCCCTTTTCATGTATCAGATAATCTAATCAAAAATTTTCAAAGTCAATATTTTTTTTTCTTTTTAAAATGATCGAATTTCGATAATATCACACATATTAGTTTTGGGAAAACACTTTTGTTTGGACAAAAAATGAAAAAAAGACACTCTTTTTATATATTTCGAAAATTTTATTGAGAGAGAGAGAGAGAAATTTAAATTTCAAAAATATTATATTTCATTTTTTTTAAAAAAGTCCAAAGAGAGGAGAGAATATAAATAAAATAATAATATTCGTAAATTAAATTTTTTCGAAACAAAATAAGAAAATCAGGATCGTCAAAATTCCCATTAAAAAAACGATGAAGCGTTATAAAAAAATGACAAATGATGATGATTCAATTGATATTATTCCCGGTATTCAATATCATTCTAAAATTCATGTTGATTATCTTTCTCATGATTGGAAAAATGAAAATGTTTGGATCTCTTGGAAAGTAATGACTAAACAAAAGAAAATATTTGATAATGGTATTCGACTTGAAAATGCTTCTTGGAGAGTTTGGGCAAAACAAAAATATAATCTTAAAACCCTTAACCCTAAAGAATTAAATTGGTAAATATAATATATTTGAGTAAAGTGTAATATATTGATAAATGATACTTATATATTTATCTTTTTATTCTTAATAGGTTGAAGGATGATGATATAACTTGGTTATATGGACCTGCTTGGTCAAATAATATTGAAACTTTATCTAATTTACAATATAATGAAGATAAATCAAATTATATATCATCATCAAAAAAATCATGTTTAAAGAAAAAACCAATGTTGGAAATACTTTGCCCCATGATTAAAAGACAAGAAAAGAAAAATCGAGAAAATGATTCAACATTTGAACCAATTTTATTATCTACCGAAAATAATGATGATACGAATAATCGAAAAATTCAATTCAATGATTATGTTGAACAATATATCGCTACTGATAATGAAAATAATAGTAGTGAAGATGAAATATCAAAAAATTGTTCAACGATATGTAAATTGGCTCCTACAAAATTAAAAGAGGATCGAATTTATCATGAATATTCTTTATTACGTTCAAAAAATTCAAAAAATTCAAAAAATTCGAATAATTCGAGTAAATCGAAAAATTCAAATAATTCAAGCAACTCAAATAATTCAAATGATACAACATGGAGTTACTTCCAATTCTTCTTTTATATAATAATCATTTCGATAACATTGATTATTTAGTAAATAATATGCGGGTGAATCAAATCCACTCATCAAAATTATGATATTAAGCGCTCTTTAAAAAAAAAACAATAAAAAAATTAATATAGAGAATTATTTAAATATTATACGGTAAAACAAATGAATAAATATAATATAATATAGTAATTTAGTTATTTTGCAATATAAGAATTCTCAAAAGGAACAGGAAAAGTTAAGATATAAGATATAAGATAAAGGATCTATTCTTTGTGTTACTCGACAGATCGGATGAATCAATTATTATTATTACGTACTTAGATTTTCGTTTTTCATATTTACGACATTTACGTGTTTTTTTTTTACGGTTCCATGTGTGGGGTTTTTACATTAATTTACAGTCGGTATTATACGTATTATATCTAAATAAAATATTTGTTATAAGAATCTTGTCTATATAAAATAAAATTACGCGTGCTTACACATACGTAATTATTAAAAAAAAAGCCAACGTACCCATGTTAGAATGTTAGAAATGAAAAATATAATTTTATCTTATCTATTTTTTTATATAAATAAGATATCGAAAATATTATTTTTTGTCGTATTTAGATATCGTTTATTTCCTTCATATGGCACATAATGTGCATGTGGCGCAGTAAATTTATAAGAATGGTTTTTTTATTCAAGATACTAAACTAGTAATAAAAAGAAAAATTCTTTTTCCTGCTTGATTTCTGTGTACTTTATTTCAATTCGTAAAAAGGCCAAACATTTGTACCGAACTTAATTAACAGCAAACTACAAAAGTCGGTCAATAATTTTTTTATCTTCGATGATAATCTAATCATTACTTTTTTTTTTTTTGTAATATTTTTTCAGCGATTAATGAAAATATTAATCATGGAAAACAATACGAGTGATACAATACTCGTATTAGCCATTTTTAAATATAAACGCACGTAATATTTCTATTTATGGGTTCGCGTGACGATAAAGTTTATGAAAAGGGATTATACTTTATAGTTTATACATCAATCCATACCAATCCATCCACTTTCTATCTAGTGGAATCATACACGGTTTAATTTTGATTACAATCATTTTTACTATTATTATCACATTTCGGTTTATTAATTCATTTATTAATTTGTCATGATTAATTCATTTGTGATACTAAATCAGATACTTTTTGTTTGCCAGGTATGGCGATTAATTTAATTAGTGATTGATTTAATTTATTAACAGTTAACAAATTCTCCTCTGGATTATTTTTCTTTGTAACATTTCTTTTAGTTTTTTATAACATTTTATATCTGAAACAATTTATCTTGTTTTCCATCTCAACATGTTAAAAGAAAAAAAAAGAAGCTTTTAGTGTAAAGAATATACAACATTTACGATATTATTCATACACTTTAAGCCACTTATTGGAAAAATTTTACAACTCAATATCATTCCCAACATTTATAATGGCTAAAAAAAATATTTTTTAAGTAACAAAATAATATTTACCAGTAGACATAGAACTTGATATACTTGATATATTTGGAGAATATCTTGACATGAAATTTAGTATTTCTCCAAAGCCCTAAGCCTTACAAGAATTCATAAATAAAAGTTGATGTAAAAAGCAAATCTATTCAGTTGGTTATCTGAACTATCTATTTATTTTAACAGGATAAATTGTTGAGAAACTGACTTTATACATAAGGGAAACCATGGTATAAGGGAAACCATGTTGATATGGTAATAATTCAGAAAAATCACTGATCTTTCCATGTTCTTAAAGTATCATAATTTTATTGTTAATAAAGATCTACTGACTCTGAAGGAGGGATCGGTTATGCATCTTTCCTTTATTACTAAATGATAAGTCAGTAGTTAATTATAAATGTAGTGGTAATAGTCTTAGAGTATATCAGAATTTACTTTAAATTTGACAGAAAAACTAGCCTACAAATTACTATAATATTTTCCAAAAACATTTAAAAGGTATACGTTGTAACTTGTATGCAGTAAAGATAAATTCATTATAATTTAAGTAAATATACAGTACTATTACTAAGAAAGATGGAATATATTAAGACCAAAAGAAAAAAAGAGAAAATGAATATATAGTAGTAAATGTTGACACCAATCATACCATCACAAGAAAAGAAGTTAAAGAACAGTTTGACGCAATATTCTATAAACAGGATAGATCAAAACAAAATTGTCCATGCATGATTTAATTTTTACCTGAATATATAAAGATTTACTGAAAGGTAATGATATTGAAAGAAGTGTCTTACCAAAAAGAGCTAGCCTGTTACCAATGATAAGAAAATTCAATTTTTATATATATTTATTAAAAATATTTAAAAAGCAATCCTAGAAATTATATTGTAGATGGATGATATTATAAAGAAGTGATTTAAGTTTACTCTTTAATTACAAATTCATTGATTACTTGGGTTTTGATAATTGGAACTGGTTTTTTTGTATTGTAACTTACAAGTTAGTTTAAATTATATGTAAATATTATATTAATATATAAATAATAGAATGAATAAATAATTTTATAATTTACTTTTTGTATTATTAGTCTGCCCTTTGATATAGTGAAGTCGCTCCAAATTTAAATGTCACGTGTTCAGAAAATTCGTAGTATTTAATTGTTTATTACAATTAATTTCATCACCTTTTTTTGATTTCTTCAAAAATATTACTTAAACCTTGAGAAATACATATAGAAGTAAAGGTCCAGATAAACTATTTCTTCAGAGTCGGAATTATAATAATACCGGCCAGTTTCTAAAAAGGAAATAAATTCCTGATTGAGTATTATTTAAGAAAGGAAGGATCGTCAAATCTTCAAATACCATATTTATAAATGTAAAAACAACGTATCTGTTATCGTTTATGAAACTTTTTAGTAGATAGATTTTTTTTGGGGACAATACAATTTTTCATATGTATTACTTGTTGATATTAACCTCACAAATATATTTTCCAATATAATTAATAATACCTGTCAAGAATTTTACTATTTCTGGATGACTCCATGAATTTATTGAATTACTTCGTGATCTAATGAAATGTATAAAGTATAAACTAATACCATTTAATAATTTCAGGACTTTCTGATGTATCTAAGAACAATGTTTTATTTATATACGCGGCATCATCAATTTTTTTGCGTTTATTAGATTAGAAATTACACTAGACTAGATCGGTTAGTTATAGAGGGTAATATGATTTATTCTAGGTGTTTGTAAAAATTTATGTAATCGAATTCGATTCTAATTTAATAAACGCGTTGCTAACTAAAAAAAAAAAAATCATTTCGTGGAATAACTGTAGCAACTGTAGCACTGCATATAGTTATACAAAAAAATCTGGTTCAAAAATTGAGTAATACCCGGGGTCCGGGGATAATTTTTGTGAGATACCGGGTATTATATAAGTGTATAAAATATAATTTTTACCAGAATTAAGCCTAAGTTACCAGAATTAGGGGGGTTACTAATTGAGGGTAAAATTTTTGTATCTAGTAAAATACTCGGGGTCTTATAAAGTGGGGGTGGATACTATCAGATATGCAGTGCTAGACGGTAGATTCATTTTCCCTGAATATTCATTGTAACAGAATCAATCATCATAGTAAAAGAAATTGTTACCACCACCAAATTCATTTAATACACGAAATGTTTCGTTCACAGAATTTGAGGTTATAAACTGTGTAACGTTTCAAATGATTTTATAAATTGGCCACATGATTAAAAATACATATGTTCGTTATCAGCTACAAGTTCGAAAATATTAATTTTGACTTTATTATGTACTAATACTTTTTTTAAAAGAAATTGTATTACATATAGTCTATTCTTACTGTAAAATTTATCTATACTAATTCAAATGTCAAAGAAGTCTTCTACTTTAATTTTTAAAAGTTTTTTTGCTCTTTTCACAGAGTCTTTATAACCAGATTCCTTATACCAACGAATTGCATTATTTATATCTTTCATAGTATTGTCTTCTTTTTCATACATTTGTGCAAGATTATATTGAGCTACTTTATCACCCAAGTTTGCAGCTTTTTTGTATAATTTAAACGCTGCTTCTTTATCTTCTTGTGTTCCAATTCCATTATGGTAACAAAATCCCAACATTGTTATTCCATTTAAAGAAAATTCAATTTCAGCCGTTTGTTGAATTAATTCAAACCCCTTTTTCACATCTTTATTAACTAATTTTCCAACTAAATAACAGTTACCAAGATTGTATTTTGCGGCTAAATTTCCATTATTAGCAGCTTTTTCATAATAATCGATAGCCAATTTCTTATCATTTTTAACGCCTATTCCTTTTGCATAACAATGTCCAATTCGTGAATGACCTGCAGCAATATCTTTTTCAGATAATTTGAAAAAACAGTTAAAAGCTGAATTTTCATCTTTAGTAGTTCCATATCCATATTGATAACATATTCCAAGATAATATAATGTTAAATCATGATCTTGATTTTCAGCATTATGAAATAATTCGAATGCTTTTGTTCTGTCTTCACCCATTCTAATTCCTTTATAATGAAAATAACCAAGTAAAAAATTACAATTTAAATTATTTTGATTATTTGATGATAACCAATTTAAAATTCTTTGATTAATAATTTTAGAAACATGATCTTTTAATCTCGATTCTCTTCCTTCATTTGTTTTCCTCCACATAAAATCTATTATATCATCAATCAATTTTTGTTCATTATTATGATCTATTTCTATCGTTTGATTCTCTTGAATCTCCAAAGCTTCGTTCAGTTCTCCTGATGGTACGTTATTAAAATATGAAGACATTGGTAAACTATTAAACGAAATGTGTTCGCTTTGAATGTATGATAATAAATCATCATCTGTTTGATCATCATTTTTGTTTAACATATTTCTTAGTCGTGATGTTACTTGTTCCATATTTGGACGATTGTCTGGTTCACCATCCCAACATTCTAAGATTATATACATTAATTATTTTCATGTAAAAATATATATATATATATATTTTTATTTAAATAAACAATTAAGAACACAATTTACCTTTATAAAGTTTAACGTAATCGGAAGGAATATCCGGATCTGAAACTGGTTCCTCTCTATTGCCTTGTATAATAGTCAAAGCTATTTCATCTGATTTATTATGAAAAGGTGGTTTACCACTTGATAATTCCCATAATAAAACACCAACACTATATACATCACTCTTTTCATTTAATTCATATGATGGATTTTCGAATCTTTTCGGATCAACATAAGGAACTACGCCATGTAGATTTGATTGAGGGTTGGTTGCCTCTTCAATTCTTTTTGATAATCCGAAATCAGCAAGTTTAATGATATTTTGATGAACTAATATATTACCAGGATGCTAATTAAAAATAAAAAGTTAATATATTATATATGATATATATTTTTAAAATCTTAATAAAATTATAAAATTAAATATTTACCAAATCACAATGTAAGATATTTTCATTATGTAAACATGAAACAGCACAAGCTATTTGAAGAGCAAGATCATGTTTTTGATCCCAGGAAAGATCATCAAATTTTTTTTTCAAATAATCACGAAGCGTTCCATCACTTGCATATTCTAATACTAATAAATAATTTTTTGATTCACCTTGATTTTCTGGATTATTATTTTAATTCATAAGTTTTTTGTGTTACATTAAATAATACAAATAATATATATTACATTTTTAAAAAAAACTAAACATACTTGTAATTCCATGAAAACGAATAATATTATTATGATAATCAACTTCACGTTGTAGTTTAAGCTTTAATATAAATTAAAGATCATGTAAATCATAAATTTAAAGAAAAGAAAAAAATAAAATAAAATAAAAAGATTATCATTTTTATATTTCAGATTTACCTCATGAACGATTTCCTTAACAGTTAAAGCGTTCAAATTAGAAAATGATTTTAATGCAAAATATTGTTCCGAATCTTTATAATTAACACGAAATACTTTTCCAAAATGTCCTTGACCAATTATTTGAATATTTTTAAAACTTTCATATTCATAATATTTAATATATTTTTTTGATATTGCTTCTTCTAACCAATTAAGCCAATTATCATCAGGTTTATTGGTAATTATTTTTTTGATTTTTTTAATCAAATCACCTTTAAATTTATCATCAAACATCTTTTTTCACTTAAGACAATGTTGAAAAAAAAAAGAAAGAGAAATAAAAAATTATTGTGGAGAAAGAAATTTCGTTATTATTGTTATTGTTGTTATTATTTTATATTTCAGTTTCTTAAAAAAGAATTTCTTATTGAGTTTCATTATAATGTAAATGAGGATATATTTGGTAATATAACAATGTGATTAGCGATAATGAATCGTCAGGATAAACGGGTACCCGTGGGCTTATCTGCTTCCGCATCGACATGATAATACACAAGTTTCCTGTTGACTAAATTTGTTTATTAAATTTAATCTTATCATGTGACATTTTTATTTTTTAAAACAATTCGATACAGTGGCTTCCAAAAATAATCATTATTAATCATTAGTTTCATATATTAGTATCAATTTTTTAAGGCAATATTATTGAAAAATCGATCATTATAAAAACTTTTTATCTATAATTTTTAATACAAATTATTAAAATTTATTATTAAAAACAAATAGTAAACTTAATATTTATCTTTTATTACAAAAAAATATTAAAAAGTATTAAATTTAAAAATACCAATAGCTTCCTTCATAAATATCTAGCAAACTTTAATGAAAATTTAATTGCAAGTAATTTACCTTGACTTTTAAAGGCAATTTACTTTGGCTAAAGTGCCTAAATTTCGCTTTGAAATTACACTTAAGTAAAAATTTTTATTAAAAAATTGTTTTATTATTATAAAATAATAATCCTTACATTGGTAGTAAAAATTATAGCAAAAAACACTATTATTACCAATCTATGCATTTCGCAATTTTAGTGATTGATAAATTCTTTTGTGTAACTTTTTAAGATATTTTTTGTGATTCAGAATTTGTGAAACTGAGAAATTTTATTTATAAAATTGCTATCAGCTATCCTCTTGAGTGTAAGAATAAATTGTCGATTCTTGCTAAATTTGTGGTTATCTTTCTGAAAATGGAATCTTTAAAGTCGATTCGTGAAAATCTAAGAGTTGTAAAGCTGTGGGTCCTTATTGAGAACGAAAACCCTGTTAAATTAAGTGTTAAGTGGAAAATTACTGATCCAGAGCCTGACTTGGTTGATATCGAACCTAGACTTTGTGAAAAAGAAGTTCTTAGTGACGTTCAGCCAGAGAGACTCGAATTCTTTAGGTATGGTGATCGTATCACGCCTATTTGTCCAGGTACCCTCGTTAGTACTTTGAATACAACAGACCAAGATCCTCTTGTTGTGCGTTATCCCTTATCTGACTCTCAAGGTAAATATTTTCAAAAGTATTTTGTTACACCTATATGTCTCGTGCTCATGTCTTTCTTCCGTCTGTAGTTGTTGTTCGCTGCAATTTATTCACGTCCTGGTACAAAAAAAGGTTTCCGCACAACAGTGGTCTTTGGTACCTTATACGTCATGGAGTAGAAACGAAATGGGAAAACTTGAGAAACTCCCAATATTTTTTTGTGTACAGTCAAGATAATAAGAAAAGCGAGGAGGAACAGATCATGAATGAATTTGCGCTCAATAATATAGTGGCAAATATTCAACCTTCGGAAGACAGTGACGAACGCGAAATCAGTCTTTCTATTCGGGTTAAAGGTTGATAAATTATTAAATTATATTATATAACAGTTGTATGAATTCTCATTTATTTCCTTTCTTTTATAGGTAAGAAAGCATATGATGATTGGGAAATAGGTGAAGTTCTCAAGGAGTTTTTGCATCAAGACGGATCATCCATAGGCGATATTCCTACATTTAAAATGGGTATGGTTTTTTTTTATTTGAAAAACGTGATTTGGTGCTATAGTTTCTCATATGATTTTTCTATTAAAGACGATCTTAAAAAACCTGATCCTGAAATTACTCAAGTGGAACTCAAATTATTTGTTGATGAGCTTAAAAAAAAAAAAGTACTTTCAAATATGTTGTTCGTAATGAACCAACCTGCCGAGAGTTCATTTCTGCATTCATGACCACAGCTGTAAAATGTGTCCAATCAATAGAAGAAAATCTTCAGATCAAAGCTAAAGAATGGCTTGATGGAAGCTGTGGCTATGGTCTCACTGACTTTGCTGCTTATGTTGAAAGTAAATTGACATTAGTCGCAGTAGTTAAGAAAGAAGATTTTGAGAAAGGAGCTGCTCAGAACATTGTGCAAATACGCAGTGCTGTAGAGGTTAGAAGATCATCATACATTATTTACTATTTTATTTACTATTATTCCATTTTTTTTATTGCTATTTTTATGTATTTAATATTTATATATATTTTTTTTTTTAGACATTAACACGAAAGTGTAAGAAGATAGGTGAAATAGATAATAGCGATAGTGATAAAGTTCCGGTTCTTATGTATGGAATTGTAACGAATGCATTACAATGGTATTTTATTCAATGGGCTGGCTCTCCAGAAGATCCAACAATTGAAGTATCTGGTCCACATCAATGTGAGTTTGATAGTGAAGAGTTGGAACAGGCAAAACAAATTGTTAAATATATTGTCTCTATTCTCCAACATCAAGTTCGTGGTTTGAAAAATGAAGAAGTACGCCATCAAATTAAAAAGAGACGTCAAAAATTTTTTTAGAAAAATTAATTTTAGTATAAGTAAAAGTAGAATTGCACATTTACAAATACTTTATGTAATGCTGTAAATTAAAATTAAATATAAAATTATAAAATAAAATAGAAAATAAAATAATAATTAAGCATATTAAAATTATTTGTAATATTATCGCGATCAGCTTTATTTTTTATTTTTATTTCAAGAAAGGCAGGCAATCTTCTGATACAATACAAAATTACAGAAGAAATAATTACATGCTAATTAGGTATATACAATCGACGAGAAATGCACATCCCATACAGGACCCACCCTTCGAAAGAACCTGATGACAGTGACATAGTCGCAGCATCAGTAATCGAACAGGGTTAAATGTTAAGATAAAAATTAAGGGATAGAAGAATAATAAGAAAAAGAAGAAGCAACTAAAGTGTAAAAGAACCAGAGCCCGTATTTTCCTTTTGACCCGAGGGCCACCATACGTAAATACTGTTAGGTATAGGATGATTCACACTATTCTAAATTGTGTTGAGTGTTAGTAGAGGTATTATTTTGAATACAAGAATGGGGGTATCAATGATTAGTTGAGTTTTTGGTTTGGATTTTTCGTTCGTAACATGATAATGGGAATGACGTAAGAACGTCTCGTTTATTAGGTCTACGTTCAATTTCTTTAGTGTCGTCATATAAGCAACAACAGGTATGTCGCCAAAAAATTTGTTTAGAGGTATCAAGACCACTCACATTGAATATATTGGTCATAGCATCGTTCATTAAGACAGTTTTTGATTTAATTTTATCGTAACGCGGAGGTTTCGCACGTTGGTGAAAAACGTTCTGAAAATTGGTAAGAATACCAATTTCGTGTTGTGTTTGGTCGTATCGATGTGACGTTGTGCCGTGATAACGAGCCTTCTCGGTATTTACTTCTTCTTCTTTGCTACCATAGCAGCTTGTTTTCGTTTAGATTCTGCATCTTTGCGTTTTAATTTGAATGGCTCTTCTCCATTGGTTACTACCAGGAGGATAATAAGTTTTGCCAGATTTTGAGAATAAAGAGATTGGGGAACGTAAGGGAGATCTTCAGGTTTGACTAAACGCTAGGAGGTAAGGGTGCCTATGGAGCGCAGCGCTGGGTTCAGAGCTGTCTTCCGTTGTGTTACTAACCTGTGGGTCAGTTGTTTGTTGAGGATAGGATCGTTTATAGTAATATCGTTGATAGGTAAAGGTGAACTATCAGACTGGTTCTTTAAAGCTGTTCGTGATCATGTTCCGTTGAATTTTGTGTGTAAAGGACAAAAAGGTATAGTCTGAAGTGTCCGGGATATATCATATTTTATATCTCAGATATGCATTATAGGTTTGCGGATTTGTTGGTCTTAAGAAAAGAGGAAAGTTTTCTGTCTCGCAGCGTAGAGTCGATCTTGAGGGTTGATGATAGGATTTGGTTTGTTAGATCTAAAAATACGATTTTTCGTGCGTTCAAAACGAGCACGTTGACGTTTCGTGTTTGCTTTCAATAAATTCCAGTTGTGAATATTGTTAATAATACATGCGACTGCAAGTATTACTAAGGGTGTATTTGAAACCATTTGCCTTATAATACATTTGGTATTTAATATCAAGGCGATGTGAAAAGATCGTTTTAGATTCTTTCTTCTTCCATAAATCAAAACATCGATTAGCGTGTAACACTTTGTGGCGATCACGTTTAGGTAACGTGTTATCAGCGAGAGGTTGCATAAGGATTGATAAAACTTTGAAGAAATCATGTTGATGCGTGATGCAAGCGCGTCTATTGTTGGACATGATGAAAGGTGACGAGTCGAACAACTACCGCCCAGAAATGTCTGAAACTCGTTGTTGATGTTTTCCATGATTAAATGGTTACAGGGGGTGTAAATACCGAAGTAGAATCTATATTTTTTATACGAAAATTTAAAGTTATACGATTTGGATGTGGATGAATTATTAGCACGTGATTTGATACAAGAAAATATTTTGTTGAATACGGCGTGGGAGAATTTTTTGTAACAAGAAAGTGTATTTGTTGATTTATATCTATAAGGGTTAGATGATGTCGGGATGTTGATCAACTAACTCAAAGAAGTTTGTTCGATTGGGTTTGGTCACATGAATTTTTTCATAGAGACGAGAAAAGAATTTTTTGACGGAGAAAAAGTAATAGGTTTTGAAGAGACATAATAAAATATGTATAAGGGAAGATATAAAAATAAATCTATAATATTGTATGTGGGAAGAGGCGAGCAGTATATAAAAAAAACTCTTTTCGTAAATAAAAGAAGAAACGCGGAAGGAAAAAAAGTTATGAGCTAGAGAGAAAACTTCAACTATAAATATGTCGTGTAGTCCTTTTTAAAGCTGTACTGTTTTACTGCGCCATTTTTTAAAAATAATTTTTTGTCGGATGAGTTTTTTTTTGTACGCGATCAGCATACCACATGAAATTTCTAAGAATACCGGAATGAATGCGATCAAATATTAATTTCAAAATTAACAAATTTAATAATTCGCGTTTTAGTTCTTACCTGCTTTACCTGCTGCCGGATTGAATCTTTAGCAAAATGTAAAATGCTGCATCTTAATAATAAATTTACGGGTTATGAATTTTACGATCTTAATTATTATCACTTGATCTATCATTGTACGATAGATCTTTTTTGAATTCTAAGCGATCGAAATTATGTTTTTTATTTCTCTAATAATCGATTAAATAGTCCTTGATACGATCCATCGGTTAAAAAAATGTTGCGTAATTGAAAAATGTGGCCATTTTCACCAATCCCTGTGACTGATACAGCTGACGCATTAATTATAACATCATAAATAAGCTTTATATTTAACTTTCTATAAAATTTCATTTTTATGCTTTTTTATCCACTTTATAAGATTTATTGTTTAAAAATATCGCTCTATGAAAATCTGTATGATCCTATTTGGCTAAATGATAAATTTAATTAGTTATTGGTTGAAGACCTCCGATATTTGCGACAATCTTATTCAAACGTAGGAAAAAACATAGATAGCAACCTTATGAAGAATTTTTTTCTAGAAATATACAGTAAGTGTCCGAGAAGTAGAGGTTGTAATACGAGTCGTCGAGTCGGTCAATTTTCAATTCCTTTTCTGGTTACCCATCTGCCTCTGTATCCCGTAACAGTAAAATTGTTAAATAGGCTTAGATCGATTTTATCTTTTAATATATTTATTTATTAGACCGCAACCTATTTATATTTTTACCTGAAAAGGTTAAAAGGGCAATCGTTATGACTTCATTACCCGTTATATATTTAAAGTAACTCGTGTGATAAAAGAATCGGATATTAAGTTATCCAATAATATCTGATATAGTTTGCTGTAAATCCATTAAAGTTATTTGATTTTATTGCATTTAATTAGAAATGGTATCGAATTACGCCGAACCGAGATAATTTGAACCCCACGGTTTAATTAATCCAAAGGTTTAAACTGGTGATTCAAACAGATTTTACAAATTTTGTTCGTAAAATGAGATAAATTAAATAAGATATTTTCCATGATTATATAACTTGAAACCAAAGTTCAAGCTGTAAAGGAAAGTAAAGGTAAATTCTCTGTACAATTCGATGTCATACGAGAATTGTAAATTTACGTTTTTTTACCTATGCCTTACAAAGTTTTTAACACCGTGGTCCAAACCGCAGCTCAAGCCCCAAATTTATAAACTGCGGTTATAAACTGCGATCGATTCGGTTGTTCGAACCGTTGATTTTTTTGAACCCATTCCTAGTATATTTGATGGTATTCAAATATAGTAGTAATTAATTTTCAATGTTACAAATGTTTCGGCCAATTACGGAGCACGTACCAGCTGTGAAGGAATCCAACAATTACGATCCCGAAATTCACTATCATTACCTGAATACTATATAAGAAATAGTGTTAAGTTCCGAAGTGAGAGTGAGAATTTAATTTCTGCGAAACTGTACAGTACTTAACCTATGGATGCTTTCTATTACCCGGACACTTTCTGTATGTTTCCATTTCTTGAGAGAAATAAACCATTTTTAGTAACGAAAAACGTGACGTTATTTTTAAATTTAAATGGAATTTTTATGATTAAATGACAAACAAAAAAATATAAATGGTAAAAAAACCTGATTATTATTATGATATTATAATAGGGGTGACAAGATGTTTTTAGGGGGTCAATATTATACGGGTGATCCATCCATCTAACTATACGTGATTCCCAATTTCCCGAAATAAGTCGATAATATATATGATATATCTTACGTATTACGTTACGATCGGCATATATCGTGCCATAGCCGCCCATAGGAAATGGAATATTTTTTTGTCAAAAATCAAAATTAGTTAAATTGATTAAAAGGATTAACCAAATGATCAAAAAAAAAAAAAAAAATCTAGATTTAAAAAAAACTTCTGATTACGTTGATCGTTATCCTATCATTAAACAGTATGTAATATTTATTTCGTTTGTAAGATTTTAGATCAGTTACAAAGTACAAAATGGCTTATAATGGTGTTACTTTAAACCAAATAAAATTTACAGAAAAAGTCACTGGCGTCGCTGATCTCGGCAAATAATAAGATCGGCGGTTTACATTAATTATTTAATTATTACTATTATTTTTTTTTTTTTTTTTTTCCAGTAGTGTTTTTTCTCTCCTTTTAACGATGGAAACTGCATATCCACCATTAAATGAATTATTCGTATTTTTGAATACAACAATAACACAAATATCAATATTTTACTCACATATACCGGGATCGGGGATTCTTTTAAAATATATTAAAAATTCTCATCAAAATGATCCTTTTAGAACTATTTTAGAGTTATTATTAGTATTTTTTGCTATAATTTATTTATTTACTAAAAAATATAGAACAGATAATTTAATTGAATTAACCCCTCAGGTATGTTATATATTAGTATTTAAATTTTTAAAGGATATTATTTGATTACTTATTTGAAGAAAAAAATCGAATAGGAAGTTGAAGAGTTAGTTGACGAGTGGCAACCCGAACCTCTTGTACCTCAACTTTCTGATGAAGAAAACGAATTTGATAAAATTCCTGTAATTAATGGGTTTGTATTCTAATTCAAAGTTTTTTTGATTTTTTTTTTATTAATTATTAAGAAAGTTTTTATATTAATTTTAACTTAAATAAATGTGTATTGCATATTACATTATTTAAAGGCCTCAAGGACCGAGAGTTAAATTAGTTAATGGAAAACCTTTATTAAATATTTCAAGTTTTGATTTTTTGGGATTGTTATCTCATGATTCTATTAAAGTAATTATTGTTTAATCTAATCCTTTTTTTTGTTTTGTCTTGTCTAATAAAAATTTTTTTTATTAATATAGGAAAAAGCTATCAAAACACTCAGAGAATATGGTGTTGGATCCTGTGGTCCACCAGGATTTTACGGAACAGTTGGTAATTCTTCCTTCCAACATTTATCCGCATGTCAAAAAAAGTACTTTTTCTAGAATAAACCTTTCTCCATTCATTTATTCGTTTATTTATTAGATGTACACACTGAAATTGAAAGGAAGATTTCAGATTTTCTTGGAACTGAAGATACTATTATATATTCTCAAGGATTTTCTACAATAAATTCAGCTATACCATCATTTTGCAAAAGAGGCGATATAATTGTAGCGTATGTTACTTTATTTGATCAACTTTATAAAAATAACACATTTCCTTTTAAAAATTAAGCATTCATTTTTGATTATAGTGATGAGGGATGTAATTTTTCTATTCAGAAAGGTTTGCAAATTTCGAGATCTATTATTAAATGGTACAAACATAATAATATGGAAGATTTAGAAAGAGTTTTACGAAAAATTAAAGATGAAGATATTGAGGTATATATAATTAAACAGTTTATTTTTTAAAAATATGAAGGTATGTACTAATCTATTCCTTTTTAGACTGGAAGAAGATTGACAAGAAGGTTTATTGTTTCTGAAGGACTATTTGAAAATTATGGCGATATTACTCCTTTACCTAATTTGGTATATATCTATAATTTATTAAAAATAAATTAAATACGTGTTAATTTATTAATTAATATCCTTTTTAGATTGAATTAAAGAAAAAATTTAAATATCGTCTAATTCTTGATGAAAGTTTATCCTTTGGTACACTTGGAAAGCGTGGAGCTGGTTTAACTGATTATTTTGATATTGATGTATGTAAGTTCTTTAATTTTTTTTTTTCATGATTGTTTACGTTAATTTTTTGTTATTTGTTATTTTGTAGCCCAATCAAGTTGATATGATTGTTGGATCAATGTGTTATTCAATAGCTTCATCTGGAGGATTTTGTTCTGGATCATTTGAAATCACAGAACATCAGGTGGGTTTATTAAATTATTATTGTCGTTAATAATTATGTTATTATTATTAATTCATGTTCTTATTTTACAGCGAATTTCGGGGCCAGCATATTGTTATTCAGCATCATTACCAGCGATGTTAACAGTTGCAGCAACAGAATCATTAAAATTATTAAAACAAAATCCACTTTTACTATCAACACTTAAATTTAATACGTTATTGTTTAAACAATTATTACATAATATTAAATATTTATTATTAAATGGTTCAGCAGATTCTCCCGTCATACATCTTAGAATTGACGAAGGAATCGTTAGAGTTGGTGATATAGAAGATAAAGAAAAATGTTTGCAAGATATTGTTGATGAGGTTGGTTGGATCTTAAGCTTATTTTAGTTTTTTTTTTTTATTTCCTATTTTTTTAAAAAAAAAATTTTTTTTTTTTTAATTTAGGCTATGAATAATGGAGTCTTATTGACTAGAGCAAAATATAATAGAACTCAAGAATTATTCAGTATAGAACCTAGTATTAGAATCTGTATTAGTGCCAGTTTTAATAAGAAAGAAATTGAAAAAACTGCTTCTGTTATTAAGAGTGCTGCTACAAAGGTGTTAAAAAATCGTGTACATTAAATAATAATTTTACGATACATTATTTCGAAGAGAAAGAAAGCTTATCATGATATAATTATTAATAATTTAATCCTAATTGAGGAGATTGACCCATCAAACTTTTTCGATCTTTCAAAAAAAAAAATGATAGGAAATACGTTCAATTTTATAGAAACAGTTTTAAAACAATGACTTGATAGAGTGACAAAATTGAATATAGAACGATAAGATTTTTTTTTTTTTATTGAGAAGGGATTTGTTAGATTTATTAGTGTGGGTATATTAATTATGATATGTATAATTATTTAAAAATTAGTTTTTAATAATTATGTTAATTAAAATTAATTTATTCGAAGTGGCAATTCTGTGGCATGAAGCCTCCAATTGAAAATTTGATTATGTAATGGAAATGTATTTACCGCAGCGATAAAGCGCGCCGTTCGATTCGTGAGTTCCCGATCCTAAAGGAGGATAGAAAAAAATTTTAAAAAATTATTAAAGAAAATTAATAGAAAAAAAAAAGTTTCAAAATATAAAATTTGGCACTTAGCTGGCATGCTCTTTAATAATAGAAGTTTCTACACTGTTTTTTTAGTATCGATGAATATGTTTAACATTGTTATACGAATTTTACCAAACATGTGATATTTAACCAATTAAATTCCCTCATTTTACTATCATATTTTCGCTGATAAATTTGAGGTGCCATGACGACGATTGACGTCAACTTCGTTATGTCGAAAGCAGATTGTAGTTACAATAATAGTAAGGAGTGTAATAATTAAATAACACTATTTTTTACATTATTTTGTGAAAAATTAAAATTACATATTCGGGTAAAATTTAAAAATTTTGATCACAAAAGATGCACCCGTCTATAATTGGCGAATTAATATCTAATAATGTATATAATTTATTTAATCTTAGAAAATAGTGTCACAGATCTGGTATAAATTAGGTATCTAACACCAATTAAAAAATTAATTAAATTTAAAAACAACACTGCGCCACTTTCGCATCTATTTATTACTGATAAATTTTTTTCAAAAAAAAAAAATATTAATTGTCTATATACAATTTTGTCCCTTTTATTTCTCTTTTATTCCATTATTAAAGGATTTCTGGAAATGATTCTTAAATTTAATACAAAATTAATTTAATATCGAATAATTTATATATTACTTATACCAAAATTTTTATATTTTACAATATATATATATGTATTATACCACATCTTGTTGATTTTGATCATTTTGACTAATTTGCTTATTTTGACTATTTACTTTATTTTGACTATTTAACTTATTTTGCTTTTTCCTTTTACATTTAACACCTATTATCGTAGCAAATATTGCGCAAATACCTCCAATTACTGCCCCTAAAATTGTGGCAATCTGTATAATAAGTGAATTAATTTGTGTTAGATATTGCAACATAATAACCTTGATTGTTAACTGTTTGACATGAAATTCAGAACCTACATCTGATGGGGAAACGGATGAGGAACCTGATGAGGAACCTGAAGGAGCAGCGCTTGTTTGAATACTAGAAGTACTCTTTGGTTGATAAGTAGTGGGAGTACTGGCAGTAGTGTTGGATTGAGTAGAAAACATAGGCTTTTGCCACTTGGAATCAGGACACCCAGTGCATTCTTTGTCTAGGCAGCAGTGACTATCCTGTGAGCAACATCCATAAGTGCAAGGACCGAGGTCTTGGGATTAGGTGTTCTTACCACCGCATTGCAAGATATGAGCAAGAATTTCACCACTGCAATCACTGCCTAAATATTAAGTTGTATGTTAAATTATTATTTATAAAGTAAATGTTTAACTATTATCTACTTACCTGCGAGGTCAAAGCCGCAGAAAAGACCAAAGCCACCACCAGAATTGCATATGCAAGTGGAATCGCCGCCAGCAGTAGAGGTGAGGATAAAGAGGTTAAAAATAAAAAGATGAATAAACCAGTTCATCTTTTTATAAAAATTTTTGGAAAGAATTAAATAAAAATTTCTCCTTAATTTTTTTCTTTTTTATTAAGTTTGATAATTAATAACGAATCCGCAATCTTAATATTAGATCTTTCGTGTGTACAAGTGTAACCCATGATACCCGTTAAAATATTACAATGTAACCATGGGGAAGTACCCGAACATCGGAGAACGAATTGAACAAATTGTTGAATCAGACAAAGATCGGTCACATAATCTAAACTATTTTAATTTACACGATATTTTACAAATTAGTTAAATCTAAACCCTATTTATACAAAAAAAAAAGAGCTTACAAATTATACAAGAACCTTATTAATTCTCTTACAAACTAACTGTTTCAACTTTTTTTGTAAATGGAAAGTAAATGAAAGTTAAAAAAAGTACAAACAATGACATTCATATCTTGCAATATGAATTGTTTGAATACCAAGGATGCAGGCCTACATTTATATATGTTGTACTGTACATATTATGTTACTGAAACAAGGGCAAAAAAATACTCCGAATGCCTAACAATTTTGCATACACTTATAGGGGGTGACAAATAGGGATCAGACTATTCAAAAAAAAAAGTCGCTGTAAACAACGCGATCTCGCAAATCACGTGGTCGGTGACGGTTCCATTTTAGTCTTATTGAAGTGTATTAGGCTGGCTGCATGCCAAGAAGTAACTATACTCTTACGTAATGAACTTTGAGTAACTAACTACCAGTGATGTGCATTTGTACCTCCAAATCCAAATGGTTTTATTAAAAAATTATACTTCCAAACTTTCCAAAGGTGCTTCCAATCTTCCAAGAGCACATCACTGCTAACTACCCATGATTTATGTTATTTCATGTTCTAATGTCTGCAATTCTACTTCTTATACATTAAAAATTGTAAATTCTTATGCATATGTGTTGTTAATTAGATTCATAAAAAAAGGCGAATCTTATACTTTTTTAATTTTACTGCGCCATTCGTTTGAAAAAATGACAAACTAGAGGAGATCCTTCTGGATTCAAGTTAATGGAAGAAAAATGTCTCTTTATCATCAATCTGGACATAATTCTCAATTAAAGAGTAGAGTAAATTAGAAATATTTTGTTTATTTTCATAGTAACAATACATATATTCTTTAATATTTCATTTCATGCACTTGTAAAAAGCACTTTTAAATAAAAAAAATTTTATCATCCATGTGAAAAAAAGTCGATCCGTTTTTTATATTCCGTCTTTTTTCCGTAAAAGGCTAGCCTTATATCACGGAATTTATCAAATTATTTACATTTTCCGTGAATGGATCCGGGAAAGGCTCATTTTTACGGAGTTTTTACAGAAATAACGGATAAAATTTTTTATAGGGTTAACAATGTTAAATTATTTAAATTAATTTTCATTAAATTATTAAGTAGATCGTCCAACCACATGGTTAGGGGACGTACCCGCCAAGAGAAATAAATATAAACTAACATTTTTTTTAAAGCCTATTGAAAATTAGTTTTTATAATGGGGAATATCTTATGTATTTGGCTTTAAGTATAAAAAAAGATTAATTCAAAATTTCTAGCATAGATTGCGTAAATGAAATTGACTGAAAATGCCTTTTCTATATGCTTTTTTTTATAAATAATCTATTTTAATGTTTTTTATAAATGTAATTTATTTAATATATATATATATATATTGAATTCTTAATTCCCTTTATAATAGGGATGGCAACGGTCAGTTTCGATGGTTTTTCAGCCAAAGCGCAAAACTGAATAAAATATTCATTTTTTTTCGTCGTTATAATGAATAGTGTTTATTAAGTTAAATGTAAAAATTATTTATATTTCAGTTACTAGTGTTATTTTCAGTGTTATTTTCTATATTATTATTTTTACAAATACTTTATCGTTATCTGATTTTGCATCTACCATAAATAAACTAACTTATATTTATTAAACAAAGTGTACTAATTTAATTTATCTACATCAATAATTTCTTCTACTTTATTTAATAATTCTTGAGAAATTATACCAGCAACGCTCATACCATTAGCTTCTTTATACTTAAATTTTTTTTGACCAAAATTAACATTTAAACTACAAAATCCATTAGAACCAATTGTAGGATACCAATTATAAAATAGACTGGTATAAGCGATACCCAAGTTTTTACCATTCATCGTAAAGAAAATTTGCCCAGTATTTGGACAATAACCACAACCTATTACATCATCTACTTTGCCCCATTTTTCAGCATATTTTGAACCAGTGTATCCTTCATTATGGAATGTTCTACCTTCATCTGAATGAAAGCCAACGGAATGTGTATCACAACCAGGTAATCTTTAAGTGAAAAAAAAAAAAATTAGAAATCGTTTAATTTATGAAATTTTTTTGTAGAAATAAATACCTGTTAATTGAATAATTTTTCGTGGCAAGACCAATAGCAATTATTGTTTGATCATTATTCGGATTTGACAAAATTGTTATTTCATAGTAATAGAACCAATACTCTATTGGTGGTGGATACTCTATTGTGGTGGGAGACGAAGGTAGTCAGTAGCAATTAGCAAATATGTTAATAGAGAATAGTAATAAGAGTTAATATAAATAATTTCTTACGCATATTCAAAGCTTTGTTAATATTGAATAAAGGATAATTTGTTTGTATCATAACGTCTGATTTAGCATTAAAAGAAATTTTAATAATAATATCATCATTTTTATCATTATCAACGACTCTGATCTTATCGGTTTCTCCGTTATAAACGCTCTCAACCTCATCTTCTTCATTTTCAACTCTTACAATCTTGTCATCAATTCTTACTATGTTTAATGATAAAAATCTTGATTCAGGCGTAAATTTCCATGCTTTTATTCCTAATCTTTTTAAATAATATTCATCTGACTTTGGCTTTTTTCCTAAAAATTTTAAAAATTTTTTAAAACTGTCTTTTAAAGTCTCTTTAATGTTTTGTAATAGTCTCACTAATAGAATTTGTTTATTTTTTGGACCATATACTAAAATAAATAAAAATAAGTTAACATAAAATATTTAATAAAATAATAAAATATTTTCAATTTCTTTACTTACTTTGTAAAATGACTTTTTCGTCAATGTATCTTTGACATAACCAAGTATTAATAATTAAAATTATTAGGGAAAATATCAAGATTATAGCTAATATATATAAATAATATATAATTAATGCTTTTAATGTAAATTTTCAGCCAAATTAATAAGAATTTATGTACCTATAATTAAATCTTCTCTATTTGTAATTCTATCAATAAAATGACCTAAAATTATCAGAATATAATCAATTATTATAATAATAATTTAATATTTTAAATCATTTAGAAAAAAATAATTTGGTTACCATCATGATTATGATTATTAAACCGAATTAAAACTAAAAGTATTAATATTACTTCGATTGTAATTGCAAGATAAAATAAAGCATAAAGATTTTTAGAACATTTTCGTATCACTAAGAAAACATTTGAAATTATAATAATTACAATAATACTATATATTCTTATGATTGTAGTAATTATATTATTGAAATTTTTATTTATATGAATCCCATATATAAATGGTATTGATACCGTAATTCCAGTAAATGAAACTGAAATTAGAAGCAAAATCCTCTCAAGTTGATAAATAATATTGATATCTAATAGAAGACAGATTAATATGATGATAGTGAAATTAAACTTATAAAAAATCTTACTTCTCTGATTATCATTCAATTTAGACTTCCTAATCCACTTCCAAGATCTAATGATAATAATAATTTAGTTTATATTAAAAATATAGAAGAAAATAATTATTAATAATTACCTTGACAGTGAAACACAAATTAGTATAAGGGTAAATTGAAATATTCCTAAAATTATCACCAAAGGTATATATTCGCGTATATAATATTTTGATGAAATTTCATTTATTTCATCCTTAACCTTGTCTATTTCACTTTTATAATTAGGGTCGATAATGTTCCTTAAGTATAATTTGTTGATTTCTTCTATATACTTACTAACCGCTCCATTGCTTAATTCAATTAAAATTTGTCCTCCAAATTCTTATTGAAATTATTTAAAGACGTAAAGTCAAAATTAAATACTAAACTATTTACAAATTACAATTAATATTTACGTATACGCAGTTCTTAAAAATATTTACCAAGAAAATAATCAAATTTGAAAATATTACAAAGCGCTATCGCAATTGGAGCAAGATTTACAATTAAAAATGCTATAAAATGCATTATGGTTTTATAAAAGACTGCAGATAATCCAGTAGAAAGAACGAATGGAGTTGTGATCCATAATGAATATGTCGAAGTTATCTGGAATGTAATATAAAAAGGGTAAATGATAATAACAACAGTTTCGGAAATAATTATAATAATCAATAAAAAATTTAGTATTCTTAAATTTCTAACGCTTAACATATTTAAAAATTAGAATTTGCAATTCAAGGATTGTATTATTATTTGTTTATATAGGTAATATCACATGATCTCCATAATTCGGATACTAATATCCGGGTAGAGCCATTTAAATATGAATACTCAAATCAAACAAAGATATGAAGCTAATTCGACGGGTTAAAACTCGTTGCATTAAATAATCAAGTGAGTCAAATAACTCGAGTTTATTTGATCAGCTCAGAGGGTTACTAAAGCAAACTACTGTAGATTAATTGTAATTTCGATTATAATAATTAAATTTTAATTAATATTAAAAAGCCACAAACAAAAGCACAGCCAATCTAAAAAAGAAATTTATATAATCCAATTCGGATTGCGATTATGATGTAACTATCCGCGAAACATAGCCTCATTCCTGATTCTAGTTCACAGTAGTCGCGGAAGTTCTATATCAGGGGGTTCCTTAATGTACAGTGAGGATGTACGATATTAACGTACGAACTGACTGGAATTAACGTTAACGCTATCACGTGCAAGTGCATAACTCCCAAACTCAGGCCAGTTCGTACGTTAATATCATACACCCCTACTGTACGTTAAGGACGCCCCGCCCTATATCAGAGCCGGTCAAGAATGCGAACTGGACGACAGATCAATAATACATAATACTATACAGTTTACTTTTTAAAATTTGAAATAAATTCAAAATGTTATTTCCAGAAGCTAAACCATCAACTGAACCTTTTTCTTTTATTTTTTTAAAAAGATTATGCTCTCTCTCACTTGTAATTGCAATTCTTATTTATACTTATAATCAGTTTTCAAAATTTTCTCTTTCGACTACTAAACCAAACCTAATTTCCAGTATAATACATATAAATTACGGCAATATTGCTATCAGAATTTGTAGTATAATTCCTATAAATTGTAATTACTCTTCTAATATTTTGTCCGTTGATTATGTTGATTTTAATTCAAATNTTTTGTCCGTTGATTATGTTGATTTTAATTCAAATCTTAACTACACTAACCCTGAACCAAAGCAATGCGAAACAACTGGGCCTATAATAAATAGTTATGTCCCTCATATTTGTAAAAATGGCGGTGAAAGTTATTACTATACTTTCGATTACCTGATGGAGAATAGAATAGTAATAATTCCCAATATCACTGAAGCTTATTTAGATGGTTTTAAAATAGACAAAGTTTATCCATCTTCTGGCTTTAATTTGATTTCTATTATTCCTTTATTTATTCTGAATGAGCAAGCTGTAATCGTATATTATTCACCTATAATCAACAAACGTATATTTAGCAAGTATGTTTACGGTCTTGTGGGTGGATTGGAAGAAGAATTCGTTGATTTTAATGCACATACTGATCATATATTAACAAATTTATCAACCCCAAATACAACAATGCTTATATTAAGACCAGTATCAAAAGATATTTTGTATCAAGAGGAATTTTATTATGATCGTAACTATCTTGTTTTTTTTTTTAATTTTCAGGAAAATAAAAATTAAAATCTTTATTCCTATTTTTCTCTTTAGTTGCCTCGATTTTATCAAGCATCGGTGGATTATTTAGCTTTTTGTCAGGCGTCTTCGTATTTTTATTTGGAGCAACTAAGTTAGCGCCATGGTAAGTTAAATAATAATTTTATACAATTCGTAATTAGGCGACACAAAGTGGTAAAAATGGTTTTCATAGTCCGGCCGGGTCAGTTTTGTTAAGTCTTAAAAAAAAATTTTTTATATTATTACTATGCCGGGTGAGAATTTTTTAAAAATTGAAAAAAAATTTTGCATATAAAATTTTAGAAAAAAAAAATTAAAAGCCGGGTTGCCGGGTTATTGATGAAATTTTTATATTATGAAAACCATAAAATCAAGTTTGTATGGCCTTACATTATTCATAATATTTTATTTCTTTTGATAGGGGATTTTTGCAAACATATGTGTTTAATTATTTATGTACAGAATATCGAAGAAAACTTGTAAGGAAACTTAAAAATAAATACAAACCAATTCCATTCATTAGTGGAAGGACCAAAAATGTTACATTGGAAGAACGCGTTCAAAATATTGAAAATATGCTTAAAGAATATTATCTTGATACTGATTTTTTGAATTTATTAGTAGAAGACAATAATAAAGTCAATGATAAAGCTGACAATAAAGTTTAGATAGTATAGATTTCTTGATATTACTGTATAGTAAACATTAGTATAACATTATTAAATGTATTAAACGTAACAATTAATACATTTGTAGTTAAGCGTTATTTTATTTTGTTGTTATCTGATATGTAAATTTCTATCTAGTAAACCAATAAATTTCCTTTTGTAATTACAATTGTTATTACTACTAAAAAAATTGGAAGTTTTTCAGGAAGAGCTATTACCTCACTAGAAGTTTCTTTACAATGAACACTGCCGAACCTCAAATTTAGACGATAAATACAAGTGCACGGGAAACGCTTTCTATATTAACTATACTGTATGATTTATTGTCCTTAAACAAAAAGCGTTAATTTTGTTTATTATAGACCTTTAGGAACTTTCATCTCATAAATTTCGTGTATGGAACGAGATGTTATTTAGAACTTGGAACCAGTTCAAAAAGTTTTAAACGGTTAATCAACTGGTAAAACTTAGAGTGTTAATCACGGATAAATCGTCATCAGTTATTTCTTTAGAATTATAGTATGGAATATGATTTAAATTTTAATTTTATTGTTGTAGTATATATCTTACTAATGTCAAGTAATAAAAACATACGTGGTAAATTATGATACTGCTGCTAACTTTAAAGATATTAAATCTCACCGCTTATCTATTTTTATTGTACACAAAATCTGAAAGCGCTGTTGTTTACATTATCCCTGCTCACATTATCCCCTTCCCTGTTGTCCACTCATATTCTTTCCACGTTATCATCTACCTAGTGACATCTGCAGTCGGTATCATATTGCTTGCGTCATCATTGTAGAAAATTGGAAACATCGAGATTATTTCATTTTCTATTTTTATTCTCTTCGATTGTATTTTCTACATAAACGAAAATATATAGATTTAGTTGGTAAAATTTTCCATTGATATATTGAGAATCATCATCATATTTTTATAAATTTACACGTCTTTTGCCAAAGGCCATCCTTTATTCCCTTTAGCAATCAAGCGAGTACCTTATTGAAGCATCTGCGTCAATCATATTTTCAGAAAATACTTCAAAGAACACATGAGATGGGTCTTTCAGGTATCGATATCAGTCGGAGACTGCCCCTGTATAAATTCATGGAATGGGCTATTTCTTCGAAATGCTACGCCAAGCCTCTCACTTCGCTCGAAATTCATACAGAATTGTTTCTTGTATACAAATTGATACGCAAATGCTTACTGTAGATGGTTAATAGACAGATTGTGTACAAAATAATCTCCAGTCCATTTATGGACCTTCCGAAGGAAGTGATTTTCTTCATTCCTCAGAAAAACATGGAGGGGCACATGACCAATATATTATGACTAAATTGCATGATTTTTATCGTTGGTATTTTTTATCTAAGCTGTCTATGAATATAGATTTAATATTAGTATTGTACATATTACTGTAATCTGTTTTTGATCATATGACCTGTATAATTTCGCTTCATAATAATTTCATGGAATAGGCCAAATGCCTCCTCGTTTCTCGAAAAATCAGCCCATAGGTCCTTCCGAACTAGAAACGTAGTTTCTAGAACTTCCTCTCGAATTATAAAACATTTGGTTTTATGGGAAGTGAAAATTTTTCCGTATACGTTTTGTATGTTATTTGATTACAGTGGACGTTTGCCATGAAATTGTATGATTCGGTTAATGAAAAGAGCGTGGTTGAGCGGTAAGACGGTCAGATATCAACTTGTCGCTAACTCCTCTCTAACACAAATTATTTCAAGAACCTTAGTTACGTGATCAACAGTGTTTCTATTTTACATCAACTTCAGATTGTGCAGTAGATGTAAAGATATTTTTCCTGATATTTTTGTTTTCGTTTTCCTTTGAGATATATTAGAGTGTATACATAGAGGATAACCAACAAATCACAACGAACAATTTTGTTTCACCAACAACTATTCTTAATCACTGTTAGCATGAGTTGTATACCCTTGATACGGTAATAATGTTAAAGATTCCTTTGGCTCTGAAAGAACTATCCAAATGATATCACTAAATAATGAAAAAATGTGATTGTTAGTTAAATATCGAGAGGGCAATGATAAACAAAAATTCTTATATAAAAATCGCACTCTACTTATTAGTAATTTTTGATTCCATATTTGCAGTGGGACTGCCTTTGGCCCGAGCGTCTTGCCGCTCAACCATTAGGAGCATATCTCCTAAAACCTTTAACTAAATAAGACCTTCGGTCTTATGATAATGGTGAGCATTTTTTACTAATTACAAACATTATCAATTACGTAGATGAATAATAGACAAATGTTGACAAAAAAGTCTCCATGATTTTTCAAGGAACGAGGAGGCTTGGCGTAGCCTTTCAAAGAAATAGTCCATTCCATAAAATTAGTCTATGGACCTTCCTTTGGAAGTGGAGGTCATAACGTAGAAATGATTGTTATTGATAACCAATTAATGGAAACATCCCTTCCCAGAGGGTTAATCCAGTTCTAGATGGAATCTAGTGAAATTAGTCCATGGGGCCTTCAGTCGGAGACTGGGCGAAGTCCAAAGAAGTGAAGGATAAATACGGCAATATCTAATAGTGTCTTCTTCTCTACGCTCAAAGTCATTCGTGTACGATTAAAATTCGATACAATGTTAATCTCACTTAGAGATTTTCAAAGAAGAAACGAAATTATTTATGGATAAGGAAGATATAGTAAAGAATAATGGAAAAAATGGTTATCAGAATAGCCATACAACGGTAGAGTCTAAATAGTAAATACTTATTTTCATCATCTTTTGTTTAGGAACGTGATCATGTATATAGGCATGTAGCTTAATCTCTGAATTTATAATAAGAGAAAGACATTTAACGTAGCATAGCAAGGTTTGCGAAGAATAAATATGAGAACGTAGATATTAATAGAATGAATAACATCAAAGACCATTATAGTATAGGGCACAAACACAGAAATAAGAATAGCGTACTATTTGTCGACAACAGTGAGTTCTGACTGGTCGTACCCTCTAATGATGTTAAATAAAATACCCTTATTTCGATGGCAATAATCGTACCTCAGGACACCATTTAGGGATATTTTTTTATTATCCCAGGGCTCGCCTTACATTAATTTCGTGATATGTAATGTCGTGGATATGTTATATTTAAGTAAAATTAGTCAAGATATACTTCTGAGATAATCCCTTACAAACTAAAAATGGATGTTCCTTTGTGATGTTGTCTACCTTCTTCCAATGTAGTAGAATGACATTCAAAATAGTCTTTGCGAATACCACGTATTTGTACAACAAACTAACTAAGGGAAATATATTTATAGGATCAAAAGATTTACTTTGTAGGCTTTGCCTAGATTTATGACCTACGATGCGTTAATCACATGGAAGTTTGCACACGCAATTTTTTTCCACATACTAGATTTTCTAGCTTCGTTGGTCATATGAAAATATTTCTAGAAAAAAATTAGTTACCGTTCGTGTCACACATCGAGAAAAAATGAGGCAAAGTCCACGTAATACTCTGAACAATTTAACTGATTTGACCAATATTCTATACTATTATGTTACAGATATGGATTTACGCCACCGAATAATTGTATTTTATTACTTACGCATCAAAAAACATTTAGTTGAAAGTCGACATAATTATTATAATTATACAATACGATACAAAAATTATTCTTATTATTTAAATAAATTATTAATAAAACAAATCTATCTAATCATTAAATTTAATGCAATAGAAAAGTAAAAAAAAATTTTTTGACTAATAAATTTTGAAAAAAAAATTTGAATAGAATTATTATCGTATATTTATTATTGGAAAACCATTTCTTTTTTTACTTGCAAAAATATGCCAAAAAAATTAATAATGTTACACCTGATCCTAGAATTTCATTAGTAGTTACGCGCGGTTATATATGATGTAAGGATCAAATGATGTAATGCATAATGTTATTATTCATTCATTTATTGGATGACAGTGATTTGTTATAAATGTCCTCTAAAATTTTAGGGACTTCCTGTCGGCTGATACTTTCCAAATTTGATTTTATACTCAAATGAATCAGATTATCTGCAGAAATCTTGATTTTTCTCCCTCATAGTTTTTCTCCTTTCTTCTGACAACTCCGATTCTTTACAAATATCACTGGTAAAAAAATGATTTATCCTACACATAAAGCTCCGAACGGTTCCAGTTTGAACCGGGAACTAATCCGGAACTGGCAAAAAATTCGGTTCGGTTCTCGGTTCGGTTTTGGACTTGGAACCGTCTGGTTCGGTTCCATTTCGGTTTTCAGTTCTACCCGAACCGCAAAAAAACCGAACTGAAGCGACCCGTTTGGAGCTTTACCTACAGATATCTTACACATATTGGGTACTCAAAATGTAGAAAATCATACACAAATAATACACATATCATACACATATCGGGTACTAATATATATATTATACATATATCAGGTACCTGATAGGTATACTATATATATAAGTACCCGATATGTATATGATATGTGTATTATTTGTGTATGATTTTCTACATTTCGAGTACCCAATATGTGTAAGATATGTGTAGGATATGTGTAGGATAGACCATTTTTTTACCAGTGATATGAAGGTTACAGTAATTGGTTACAAAGAATCCGAAGTACAGGTATGATTTTTTGTCAAACAAGTTTGTTTTCAATAAGATATATTGATATGATACATGAAAAACCCAACAGACCAGTAAAACTGTAGAAGCTCGCAAGGTATTGTGATTTTTACTGTAAAACAATGAAAAGTGAAATAATGACAAACAACCATATCAGGTTCTTGAACAAATAGAAAAGGCAGTGAGAAGAAGACAGGATCAAGTAGTTGTCAAGCTTCAATTTCCAGATGGTAAACTTAATAGTCTTAACGTGCGCAATGCGATACACTCATATTATAAAGCTGAAATAATCAATTATGAACTTCTTATAATCCAAGTAAGATTTATTCTACATATACACTTGCATATGATATTATTATTCTTATCTAATTTTTATATCAGTATGATGGAGGGGATAAACAACGAATACATCGTAAACTGGTAATGTCATTCGAAAATCAAAATGGAACTTGGTATACAGAATCAAATGTAATTTGTGTAATTGGTAACGATGACTGACGATCTGATATTGGAATCTGGTTCTAATGGCCATCAAAACAGGAACGGATTATGCCTCTTAAGAGTCTGTGCTTACCACCTGATATTTGGATTGAGGTTATTAGCTTATTATATTAATTTTTATTTGTGTAATGGTTAGTTGAATATATTTGAATCCCTGCAGGTCTTCTATAACAGAGACCCTGACTGCCAAAATGCATTAGAGAAAATTGACTCTCTTCAGAATAACTTGAATGGTATCCTCAACGTAGAATACGTCAGGATCGCTATACCTCATACTTATAATACTTTTTGGCTGAACCCATTTTCTGGAGCACCTTCGATGCCTGCAATTGTGACTGGACAGAACAGAAGACCACAACTTGCACCATATCTCATTCATTGGGACGTAACCTACACTCTACATTATTATATAATTAACTGGAATCTTCATCTAAGATTAAGATGTGGTGCTATAATCGACTTTAATATTATTCTTGATGTACTTTCTAGATAGAGTTGAAAAAAAATTTTTTTTTTAAACAGATAATTTAGTCAAAAAAAAAAAAAATTCTTCACAAATAATATGTAATTAACATATAAGGATAATTAATTGAATTAACATAGGTTAAAAATGGGTTACACCTAAGGTTGCTTGCCGAAACCTAGGGGTTTAGACAAGATGGCGTTTCGCCGAAAAGCGAAATTCTGCCGAAACTATATTAAAGTTATATTAAAAAACTGGCGAAACTTTGGAGAAAGGTGAAACTGCCGAAACTTATTATAAATGCCGAAACTGCCGAAACTCTGCCGAAATTATAATAAATCTATAGTAAAATTTTGACGAAACTAATCGTAGGATTTTGAAGAGGTTTAGACAAGCAACCTTAGTTACACCAACAAAAAAAATTAATAATTGTATATCTCTAATTAAAGAATAATGTCTTTAAATTTGTATTACTATGCCAGTGCTTGATTCAAGTATCATTTATCTAAATCATGTGCGCGCGCAAAAATTAAATCGTGTGCATTAATTGTGTGAGTTCGCAAATGTAATTTCTTTTTCTTTTTTTAAAAAAAATTAGTAACGCGTTTATTAAAATTAGAATCAAAAATACATAATCGATTACAAAAAATTTTAAATAAACACTTAAAAAACAAATTAAAAATTTGTTCTTTATAACTAAAGTAATCAAACCTAAACTATCTATTAAATATCTAATTAATCTATACTAATTTCATTGTTACGGACCATAAGGGCATTCTAAATTCTTCTGTATATTTCCAATTAAAACATCTTTAGTTACTAATTTAATTGATGATTTGGATAAGATCGGCATGATTTTCATATACAAAAACGGGGTTAAATTTAACGGTTACGTCATTAATTCAAACATTCCATAAAAGAAATTTCAATAGATTACACAATAACTTTAAATGAAAATCACATACTATAGTGAAACAATACCTGAAAAAATGAAATTTGTAAAAAAAAATTATACGTTCCTATGTAAAATTAAGAGTTTGGTATGTACGCGCATCAGATTTATACCTCAAAAATAGCTAAATTTCGAAGTTTATTGTATTTATTATATTATTTATACCATAAACAAATAAATTTTAGCCTTCTAAGTTGTTTACAAGGGCTCTCCTATACATTTAAATTACTTTCTGCTGCTTCAATTGCTTGAAGTGCCATTGCATGTTTCCAACCCCGTGAAAAGGAATTTATCCAGTTTGCTATAGTAGATTCCTTTGGTACGTCCTCCTCTTCTATTTCTCCTTCCTGCACTTGCTGCATTAGCTCACTTTTCATTTCTACTGCCATCATTTTCTTCCTTGGATTTGCAGTTCCTGCATGAAACATGGTTTCAAGAAGTTGCTTGATGTGTATAGGAATTCTTTTTACCGGCTATCTAGTTTTTTGATGTTGTTGCAATGCCCAGCCAGAAATAAAAACTTCCAAACTAAATAAAAAAATAAATACTGGTAAGTTTACAAATTTATTCTAAAAATTGTATTCAGCAGTTTCTTACCTTTTGCATTCCAGATCTACTTCCACTTCCGTCTCATTTGTCAAATCAACTACCACTTCTTCTTCCTTCTCTTCTTTCTCTGTAAGTTTTTGCATTATTATATAACTTATTTTTTATGATTATTATTGATTAGAATTATTATATTTTATAACCAAACCTACCAATTTACTCATTTGATCCTCTATATTTTCAATAGAATCTATTTCAACAAACAAAAAATAAATTATAAATTTATTATTTGGACGTTTATGTAAAAGATACAGCTAGTACCTTGATGGTCAATCCTTGGTATGATCCATTGTTTTTGAGGATTTGAATGTGTTGAAATAATAGGATTGGGTTGTGTAATTATCTGGTCTTTAATAATTTTTTGGATTTTACAGGGGGAAAATTTGTTCAATTCTCCAAATCTTGGTAGAGGTCGTGCACAAATATAACCAGCTTCTTCGCCATCATATATCCAAGTAAATTCATTCCAATTTTGAATTCCTGCAATTGTTCCTATTTTTTGTTTTTCTTTTTTACTAATATTATTTTCTGTTTGAACTGAAAAAAAAAAATTATTATTTTCAAAAATTATAGCATTATTACAAAAGAATATTTACCTTGCTCTCGATTTGGTTGGAGATTTGCTACATGAGTACCAGATAAATCTTTGATGGCCATTTCTATATCTTTGCCAGAAGCAATTTCATAACCAAGTTTGACATATCGCTTGATAGCATGTGTAATCTTAATATAAAATTCTTGATTACAAATGAATTTCATAATTATAATATAAATAGAAAAGGTAAAGTAAATTATTTACTTGGGCATGATGAGAGTCTATCGCTGTTTTGGCCTCAACAGCTTCTAAAAAAATCCACTTATTAACGCAAATATTGTACCATTCTTTCCAATGTGATAATATTATTATTAGCTCTGTATTGTGATAATGTCCACCATTATCAGATATAATAGTTACATAGCTAGGTTTTCTTTCAAGTGTTTCTATTACCCCATGTAATGAAGATGCCTTAAACCAAGCATCTTGCTTGGTGTCTCTACTCCAGTGATTAAAAGCATTGACATTGATATTATTGGTATTTTGATCTTTAGTACAGTCAACTCTCTTTATAGTCACACATTTGGGACAGTCCATATTTGGTGATTATTTTACAAGTGTTTTGTAAGTGTAGTGGCCACTACTTTCCGCACCCTCTATTGAAGGCTATGGAGGTAGTTTGTTCATTGCATCATCCTCACTAAGCCATGATGTAACCATCCCCGCCACCTTTTAACAGGGACAATTCAACACCACAACCAAAGCGCAAGGACATATCCCAGGGACCCGAAGGCCTTTGAATCTGCTGAACACCACCCTACTCGTCCTTTAATCCATTGCATGATACTGTAATGGCTACTATTATAACCCCTCACCACTACTACTTTCACGGAGGACTTTCGTCAGATAACCTTCAAACATCTAGACCCCTTCCATACCACAATATTAGATAACAGGTCTCACTCAAAGGCCACTACAGCCCGCGATTACCCACCACCGATAGTACAGTTGTAATCCCCAAGTGGTATACTTTGTAGTGACCACCTGGACAGTAAGCTTGTAGGTGTTACCCAGGATCATCCCTTATGGTGGGTATCAACCACCAGGAATCACCAACCAGGGCCCATCAGAGAAGGGAATAGAACCAAATCACCAAGCTATCTGTTCTGTGCAAGAAAACCGTGGTTGGTCTAAGACCTAACAGAAGGTCAAACTACCACTAAGACATTGCACCCTCAGCTTTACCATCTAGGACGACCATCTAGCCATTACTGACCATATTTGGTGATTATGAGCAAACAGTCTTATGACTTTATCTTTTATTATAAGTTTTTAAGCGAAAAGTACAAAACACAAATCGAACAATATTACAAATAAAATATAGAAAATTAAACATAAAAAATAAAAAAAAACTAGCTTCACGATTCATACAAGTAAAGAAATCTAAACAAAATAAAATTAAGTAAAGAAAAACTAAACTATTACAGAAACGCATACCCCATCTTTACCCGAAGGCCAGTGTGAGTCAACTATCCAGCATGTCCTAAGATCCAATCCGTTACCAAAAAGAAATCCTAAGTAGAGGCTAAACTGTTAAGCGGCGCCAAAAATCCAAATGCGAAATCCAAGATCCCCCACGGATTATAGAAGAGGAAACCCAAAAAACCCAGGAATCCAAGGAAGCTGTCGCCAAGGAAGGTGTCGAAGAGTCAAGAGGAATGTTAGAGGAAGGTCGAAGAATAGAAGAAGGCCCAAGAGCTGACGATTTCATTTTTTTTGTAATGCCTTGAGCTAATTCCCAATGATGAAAGAAAATGGATCGGCACAACCAGATTTGAACATAAAGGTCAAAATGAAAGTCGTGCAAAGGTGTATCTAAGATAGACCATATGGTAGGTGAAGAAAAATAAATTCCAAGAAATTCTGTCAAAGATATCGGTATAAGTCCTCTTGTGAGTCGCAGGCAGGAAATTGAAGGAGGGTCACAATCCCAACAATTAAGAGCCATAAATTCAGCAGCAAAAGAGTCCGGTAAAGGGATTAAAGATGACGCGGAAAGGAAATTATCAAGATAAGTAGTCCGAAGAGCCAATAGTAATGTTTTAAAAGTTTGTAAAGGGCTAAATTCCGGTAAAATATAAGGACAAGTCCACAAGTGGTCTAAAGTCTCAGGAAAGGAATTACATTGAGGACAAAGCCAACTTGGATTATAAAGATGAGGCTTTCGTCTCTGAAGAGTTGTAAGCGTTGGAAGCATATCTAAAAGTAGCTTGATACGGAAACCACAAAACTCGGAACGGCCATTCCGATGAGAGACAAAATGCTTATTGTTATTGAGACAAAATTTGGTGCAAGCCCAATCAATATCAGAAGTTGAAGAATAGGAATTAAATCTTGGTAATACAGCAAGAGTTAAAAGACTTTTGGCGTCAAAAATATCTCTAATAAATTTCCGGATATTCATATCCACAGGTAAGGAATTAAATTGTAAAATGCAAGGAGCCATCAATTCCGATGGTGGACAAGAAGAAAGATGTGAGTCAGTATGAGCGGCTTTGGCTAATGCATCCACATGATTATTCAAAGGGTCGTCAGCATGAGCAGGAACCTTGATCAAGGTAACATCCAGATTCTTTTGCAACATAATAGTGCGTATGGAGGACCACAAAAGGTGGTTGGATTCTTTAAGCATTCTGGGAATAAAAGGAGCATCCACATATAAAGACCATAAAGAAAGTAATTGAGCACAATCAGTGGCGACAGTAATCTTTGAATTCCGAGGAAGGGAGTCCAATCCGTGCAATAAAGCAAAAACTTCTGAACGTAAAGCAGAAGGAAAAATGGAAGAGATGATATTATAATGGGATTCCAAAATAAATCCATCAGGATCTATAGCAGTCCATGCATAAGCCATCGAGGATGCCGGATGACTAGGAGGAGAAAGGAAGGAACCATCAATATAAAGGGTAAACACCGAAGAAGGAAGTTGGATATCAGAAATCCTAAGCACTAGTTCATTCGTAGGAGGTAAGCGAACCGGAGCAAAAAGATGAAATAGTAAAAGAGATTTGGCATAGCCTAACGAGGCAGAAAGTGAAACCGAACGAGTATCCGCATGTATATAAGTACGAGGTTTCGTAGGATAACGGATCAAACTTGATAACGGAACATAAGAGAAACATCCTTCAGAGGGACATCGTTTAATCAAAGTCTTAGAGGTAGAGGATCGCGGAATAGCAGAGGCACAACCTTGGCATGCAGTAAATTCAGAAAGTAAATCATCAACCGATGACGCAATCCAATGTGAAATAAGAGCTTCATTACGTGGAGCAGGATAGGTAGTAATCACACGGCCAACGAGGAAAGAGTTAGTATTGCGATTAAAAGAAATAGCCCATTGAGGGTTAAACCAATAATTTCGACTAATATCTATAAAAGAAATAGAAGCTACGGTATGAGAACTAGGAATTCTAAATTGTTGTAAAATAAAAAAGGAAGGTGAATTAGGAATAACAATAAGATTGAACAAATAATTAAACCAAGCAGGCACAGATCCTTTGTTCGATACTCGTTTAAGAAAGCGTAAATCTTTCCATGAGAGAAGTCGAGAGCCACACGGTGTAATCAATTGAGCAAGAAAATGAGTGCAGAAATTTTTCCGAACATTTTTCATGGAAGTAAATAAATCTTTTGGTAAAATAGACCGGAGTGGAATCGCCGGACGTAAATCTTTCCTCGGAGGTCGGAACAGTAAAGACCACGTGATATTTAAACGAGAAGAGAACAATAAAGAATTAAATAAAGAATGTGTTCGCAAAGAAAAGGTGTGGGACCATGGTTCCAGGTCAATAGTAGAAGGGCAGACATCACAGTCCAAAAAACCTTGGAGATAAGTAATCATATAATTAGCAAAGAGCTTATATGAAGGGTGAGAAAAAATTTTCTGCCATGAAGCCACATGAGATGATAGAAATCGACCAAACGCTTGTTGAATAGAGAAAGGCAACAGTGTGAAGAGTGTGGAAAGAGGAGTGACTGAGGCCAAACCAGCCTTCTGACGAATAAGAGAAAGCATTGGAGAAACCATGCGATTAATGGTGGATTCTGCAAATAATGTGGTTTGTAGGCGAAATTCTAGCCTCGGAAGTAGGACAACGTTATAAAGATAAGCTATATGTTGTGCTAAAAGTTTTTTAGGACTGAGTAGAGCGGCCATGTCTTTGACCATGGAAACAGTTTGGTTATGAACGAAACGAGAAGAAGCCGAAAGGTTAAACCAAACACCTAAAAACCGAAAAGATGTAGATAAGGCTAACGCCTTTAAAGTAAGGGTATGAATCGTATTTAAAGAAGATGGGAATAGATCAAATACAATAGTTTGAGAAAATTGTTCAGAAGAAAGAAGGATATATTTTGCTGAATTTGCTTGAGTATTATTTAAAGTGTAAAATTCAGCAGTAATGGAAAGGCGATCTTCAATTCCTTGTTTAGATGAAGCAATCAAAGTAGAGTCATCCATAAATGTAATATGTGAAACAGGAAGATTATGTTGTTCATATTCAATTGGAGAATAATCCAATAATGCAGAAGATTTCAAAATAAAGGGATCACAAGCTTCTCGATTAAGTGTGGTAAGTAATGGATCCAAGTATATAACCCATAATAGTGGAGAGATGATTTCACCTTGGTCAATACCAATTCTAACTCTATATCCAGAAGTATCACCATGATGTGTAATAATTTTATTATTACGCCTTGTAAAAAGGTTAATGATAAATTTGATCAATAAAGACGGAATATGCAGACGGATTAAAGCCAGTCTAAGCATGTTCAAATCAATTGAGTCAAAGGCCTTAGAAATGTCCTGAGAAACAACCCATAGTTCTTGGTCATCGCTTTTATCAAAGCGTCGTTGATGAATAATAGCATCAAGCATCTTAATAGGAATGTCGGTGGAGCCGCCTGGTAATCCGGCAAAATTACCACCTTGGAGCACTTGATTGTCGGCTAGGATTTTTGATAGTCGAGTTGTAACGACCTTAACCACACATTTTCGTACTGTTTCCAATAGAGTGATAGGTCGCGTATTCTTCAATTGGGCGTCAAATTCATGAGGCTTTGGAATGGGATAAACAAGCGCTTCACGCCAATCGGCAGGAATATCTCCATGAATGAGACAAGCATTGGCTAATACAAGGGACAAATTGAAAGTTTCTCCAGTTAAATGTTTGAGCATCTCATAAGAGATCTTGGAAGGACCAGAGGCTTTATTATTAGGCATAGAATTGAGAGTGTTTTTCCATTCATCGGCCAGAATAGGAGACATAACCGAGTTATATAAGGACGAATCAATATCTGGAAGAGGAGTATAAGCTCGTTGCCATCGTGGAGGAAATGAATCCGTAGAAGAATACTGGACCAAAGGAGGAGTGACAACCGATTGGAAGTGTTTAATAGCAGCTTGTTTGATATCTGAAGGATCAGTAAGTAATGTGGGTTTGGAGTCAATAACAACCAAAACTCTATCAAGGACGATAGAACGATGTTCCACTGATAGGGCTGAAGAAATAAAAGAGCCCGGGGATGTAGAGAAATGTTCATCTCTAAGAGCAGTATAATATTCAATGGAATCTACACGATGCTGATGAAATTGTGTGGAAAGATAAGCTGAGACCAAAGCTTTTTGTGAACGTAAAAATTTGACAAAAGTAGGAAGCGGTGTTGTACTATAAGAAGGTATAGTATAATCTGTTAAAAGAGACTTAAGGAGGATTAATTGGGTTGGTAAAGAATTAATCATTTGTAAAATTTGAGCAGGACGACCAGGCCTAGATGTGGTCAATTTAAACAATAATCTATCCAAGAATTTGTTGACAGCAATAAGCATGGT